GCGGGATTGGAGGGAGAAGGGACAGGAATGGGAACGGAATCCTTGGGAATATCCAGGGGGAATATCCAGGGGGAATATCCACAGGGGATATCCACAGGGAATATCCAGGCGGGAATTCCGCGCTCAGGGAGGGGCCGGAGTTTCGGAGCTTGGATCAGCCGCTCCCAATTCCCAGCCATTCCAGAGGCTGCTCCCAAATCCCAAAGGAATCCATGACCGGGATTTCATTTCGGGAAGAGGGATCCGGAATGATCCGGAATGATCAGAATTTTCCCCAAAAAAACCCCTGTTGAGAGGAGGAGGATCCCGGGATGATCCCACGGCTCCTCTGGATTCGATTGGCAAAATCCTGGAGCCGGGATCCGAAGGAACGGGAACATCCCAAGGGAATGGGAACATCCCAAAAATGGGAACATCCCAAGGGAATGGGAACATCCCAAAAATGGGAACATCCCAAGGGAATGGGAACATCCCAAAAATGGGAACATCCCAAGGGAATGGGATCATCCCAGGGAATGGGATCATCCCAGGGAAATGGAGCCAAACCCAGATTCCAGAGGGAAAATCCCAACTATTCCCTGTCGGGATCAAATAAACGGAAGTTCTCCGTGGCTGGAGGTTGGAATGCCGGGATATTCCCGCTGGGAATTCTCGGTGTCCTCTGGAAGGGCGGATTCCGTGGCCGATCCATGGATCCATGGAAAAGCCGGATCGATCCGTGGCCGTGCCAGGAGGGAATTGGAGCGCACGGATCGATTTCCCGGGAATGCGGGATGGGGCCTCCTCCGGGGGGCTCCTGAGATGGGATCCCGGGAATTCCAAATATCCCAGAGGGGCTCCAGGAGAGCCGGATTTGGGATCATGGGACACAGGGAATGGCTCCCACTGCCGGGGGGAGGGGCTGGATGGGATTTTGGGATTTTGGGAAGGAATTCCCGGCTGGGCTGGAATTCCCAGAGCAGCTGGAGCTGCCCCTGGATCCCTGGAATGTTCAAGGTGAGGCTTGGAGCAGCCTGGGATGGAGCCAGAGAATCCATGGAATGTGGGAGAGTTTGTTATTCCCTAAAATTCCTCTCCCTCCCTTCCCTTCCCTTCCCCATTCCCCCCCCCCATTTTTCCCCATTTTCCCCCATTTTTCCCCATTTTTTCCCCATTTTTCCACAATTTTTTCCCCATTTTTTCCCCTTTTTCCCCAATTTTTTCCCCATTCTTTCCCCTTTTCCCATTTTTTCCCGTTTTTTCCCCATTTTTTTCCATTTTTCCCCATTTTTTCCCCATTATTCCCCCTCCCCTCATTCCCAAATTCTCCACAAAACCTTGGAAAATCCCGGCCGGGGTCCCCAATCCCTGAGGGATTAGGAACAGGGATCGGGATCCGTTGGAATCCGGGAATGGGAAAATTTCCCGGCTCCAATTAAAATTCCCCTCACCCGAGACGACTCCGGCCCTTTTTAACGAGTTCTAATTAATTGGCATTCCGGGCAATTAATTTGGGATTCAATGGAATTAATTCATTGGGATTCAATGGAATTCATTGGGATTCAGTGGAATTCACTGGGGTCGTTCCCGGGGCCTGGCGGGAATTCCGGGATCCGTAACTCACACCCGCCCGGCCGGGTGTTCCCATCCCCCTTCCCGCTTTTTTCCATGGAATTCCATCCAACCCTGAATGGTTCCATTCATCCCGGGAGCTCCATCCCGGATTCCCGGCTCCGGAGTCATTCCCTAAATCCGGCCCCGAGGGGGGAAAGAATCTGCGGATGGAGGGTGGGGGAGGGGGGAGCTGCTCCGGGGGCCCCCAAATCCCGGGATTCCGGAATTCCCAGAAATCCCGCGCTCCTTTCTTGGTGGTGAACGCTCCCAGGCCGGATCTGAGGCTGGAATGGAGCAGAATTCCCAGGAAAAGCTGTGCCGGGGAAAGGGAAAAATCAGGATTGATCAGTTGGGATCGATTGGGATCAATCGGGATCCCGGGAGATCCACAGAAATCCGGGAATTCTGGGAATGGCGGCAGCCACGTCCCTGCATCCAAAGCTTTTCCAAGCTCGTCTAAAATCCAAGGAATCTGGGTGGGAGCTGTGGCCGCCTTCCCGACGGATCCGGAATTCTCCGGGATGAGCTCGTCCCGCTCGTTCCGGCTTTTCCCTCCTCTCGGAATTCCCGAAATCCCGCTCCAGTCAGGAAAAAGCCTGGAATTGTTTTTCCCCTGGAGGAAATGGAATTCCATGGAACTCTGCCCCATCCCGCTGGGATTCCCACCGGGAATTTGCCCCTCCGGAAGCGCTGTGCGAATCCCAACAAATCCTGCCAAAAAATTATGGAAAACGATGGAAAAATCCATTTTTCCAGAAAAAAAAAACCCAGAAGTTTGGGAAGATCCAGCAAAATTCCCAATGGAAATCCCGGGAAGCTGCCGGGGATGCTTGGGATGGGGTGGGGCTGGGAGCAGGGATCGTCACCATGGAGCTGATTCCTTGGGAATGGGAATGGGAATGGGAATGGGAATGGGAATGGCTGAAAAGGCTGAGCCAAATTCCGGGAATATCCAAGGAAAACTTGGACGGGGCTTGGAGGAATCTGGGATCGGGAAATGTCCCTGGGCAGGGAACGGGATCCGAGGTCCACTCCAGAATTCCAGGATTCCGGGATTTCCAGGGATGCTGGCGAATCCCGAGCCATTCCCGGATTCCCGCGGATCCCCGGATCCTTCTCCCGGTTTTTGGCGGCTGGGGATGGATCCCGGCTGGGAATGGGGATCCAGAGGGTTTCCTTCTTTTCCAGGCTCCCGGAGCAGCCGCGGTTCCCTGAGCTCCGGCTCCATCCCGCGGGATCCGGAGGCTCCGGAGCAGCCGAGCGGGGCAGGTGAGGATCCCGAGGGACCCGGACAGCAAATCCCGGGATTCCGTGCCAGGCTGGGAATGTCCCATCCCAGATTTCTGTCAATCATCCCAAATTTCCATCATCAATTATCCCATCCCAAATTTCCACCCATGATCCCATCCCAAATTTCCAGCAATAATCCCAAATTTCCAGCAATGATCCCAAATTTCCAGCAATCATCCCATCCCAAATTTCTGTCAATCATCCCAAATTTCCAGCAATAATCCCAAATTTCCAGCAATGATCCCAAATTTCCAGCAATCATCCCATCCCAAATTTCTGTCAATCATCCCAAATTTCCAGCAATAATCCCAAATTTCCAGCAATGATCCCAAATTTCCAGCAATCATCCCATCCCAAATTTCTGTCAATCATCCCAAATTTCCAGCAATAATCCCAAATTTCCAGCAATGATCCCAAATTTCCAGCAATCATCCCATCCCAAATTTCTGTCAATCATCCCAAATTTCCAGCAATAATCCCAAATTTCCATCATCAATGATCCCATCCCAAATTTCCATCCATGATCCCATCCTAAGTTTCCATCAATGATCCCAAATTCCCAGCGACGATCCCAAATTTCCACCAATTATCCCAAATTTCCATCATCAATGATTCCATCCCCAATTTCCTTCAATGATCCCAAACTTCCATCAATTGTCCCAAATTCCCAGCAATCACCCCATCCCAAATTCCCAGCACTGATCCCAAATTCCCATCATCCATGATCCCATCCCAAATTTCCCCTCTGGAAGTTGGGAATTCGCTCCCGTGGTTTTTTATCCGGAGTTTTCCGTGGATTCCCCCCCGGGGCCTGGAGCCGTTATCCCGAGGAATCTCGGAAAAGGGAGTGGGAGGAAAACCCGGCTCGCTTCCGGAATTTTTTCCGGAGGTGGAATTTTGGGATTGTTCCCGTCCCGTGGGGGCTGGGAAAGTTTGGATTTCCTCCTCCAGGAGTTTTCCCGGATGGAAAACGATCCAAGCTCTTTGCGCCTTTCCGGGAGAATTCCGTGAGATCCGTGGGAATTTGGGAAGCGGCTCCAGGATCCAGGAGGGACGAGAATTCCCGGGAATTTAAATACAAAAAAAAAACCTCGGAGATTTTTCCTGGAGTTTCCAGGAAGTGAAAATCCTTGGAAAGTCGAATTCCAGGGAAATCCCAGAGAATTCCAGGCTGGAAAAAGCTCAGCTGGGAAATTCCCGACTGGAATTTTCCCGTCTCCCACATTCCATGGATTCTGCTCCAAGCCCCATCCCAGCTCACCTTGAACATTCCATGGCTTTTCTGGGAATTCCAGAGAATTCCAGGGAATTCCAGAGAATTTTTCCCACTTCCCACAGGAAGAATTCCTTCCCGCCATCCCATAATCCCACTTTTCGGAATCCCAATCCAAGCTTTTCATGGAATTCCTTCTCCCTCCGGACCTCGGCAGCCGCCTGGGATCCTCCAAAGGAAAAAAAAAAAGCGGGAAGAGGGATCGGGAATCGGGAATTCCGTGCCCGGGGGTCGGATCCGGGAAGGGCTCCGGGGGTTTTTCCCTGGAATTCCTGGGAAACGAATGGAATTTTTTCCTTTTCCCAGAGCTCCATGCGGGATCTGCACAAGGCCGAGGTGCTCGGGAGCAAACGCGGCCTGGTGAGTGCCCCGAGCCGGGAATTCCACAAAATCCATGGAAAACTCATCCCGGGGCAGCCCAGAGCTCCCCCCCGGGGCCGGATCCGCTCCGGAGATCCCCGGGAATGTTGGGAATTGGCGCCGTTCCTGCCCCTCATCCCGAATTCCTTTGGGTTTTCCCTCTTGGGATGAAGCGTCGAGGCTGGATTGGGAATTCCAGGAATTGTGGGGAGGATGGATCGGGAATTCCAGGGCCAGGATGGATCAGGAATTCCAGGATTGGTCTGGATTGGGAATTCCAGGAATTGTGGTGAGGTTGGATTGGGAATTCCAGCCCCAGGATGGATTGGGAATTCCAGGAATTGTGGTGAGGTTGGATTGGGAATTCCAGGGCCAGGATGGATCGGGAATTCCAGGATTGGTCTGGATTGGGAATTCCAGGAATTGTGGTGAGGTTGGATCAGGAATTCCAGCCCGGGATGGATCGGGAATTCCAGCCCAGCTGCTGCTCCCGAGTTTTCCCCTCCCAATGGAAAGAATTCCGGGATTGGGATGGGCCGGTGCCTCCGGAGGGGGATCCCAGCCCGGATTTCACCTCCGGATCTGGATCCCAACAAACTCCGGGATATCAATCCCAAAACATCCCCTGGAGGATCCGGGATGGCCCCGAATCCCTTCCCAAACCAAATCCTTCGGGACTGAATCCCTGAGGCTCCCAAATCCCTCCATCCCGAGGGAAAATTCCCCGTGGAACCACCGGAAATTTGGGATCACGGCTCTATCCCGGGAAAGTGCCACAGCAGCGAAAATTCCCAGGAAAAAATTCCAAACATTCCCATTTTTCCCAGGTTTTCCGCAGGAGGGAATGGCGGGATGTCCCGGGAAGGGATTGGGAAGCTCCGGTTCCTTCCCGGCCGTTCCCGATCCCGGATTTTCCTTGGGAAAAGCGGCTCCCGGCGGTGCCCATCAATGAGCCTTTGATGCTGGAAATGTCAAACTCCGCCATTCCCGACCTTTCCATGGAAAAAAAACTTCCAGGGATGAGCCAGATCCGGAGGGAGGGAGGGAAAACAAAAATCCCGAAATTCCCACAAAACCCGGCCTCGGTTTTATCCAGGAAATCCCAGACAGGGAATTTTTGATCCCAGTTCCCGGATCCCTTTCCAGGAGTTTTCCCACCTCGGATTTCCTTTTCCCGAGGATTTTTCCAGAGCAAATCCCTCTTTTTTTCCCCCTCTCCCCCACCGAACCCATCGGAAAATCCCGTGGGAAAATCCCGTGGGAAAAATCCCATTATTCCCGTTAAAAACACAAAAACTCCCGGAAGGAAATCCATGGAGAAGAACAAAAACCTGGAAAAGAGGGATTTTTCCTGCCAGGAATTCCAGGTGGAGGCAGGACGGGATTTCTCCGCCGCTCGGGGCGGATTTACCGGCGGCTATTTTTAGGATATCCAGGTTTTTTCGGGATTAGGGTCGGAGCCGCGCCGGCTGTTGCGGCCGGAGCTCCTTTCCCGGTTTTTCCCTTTCCCAGTTTTTCCCTCTCCCGGTTTTCCCCTTTTCCTGATTTTCTCCTTTCCCGGTTTTTCCCCTTTCCCGGTTTCCCCCTCTCCCGGTTTTCCCCTCTCCCAGTTTTTCCCCTTTCCCAGTTTTTCCCTTTCCTAATTTTTCCCTCTCCCGGTTTTTTCTTTTCCCGGTTTTTCCCCTCTCCCGGTTTTTCCCCTCTCCCGGTTTCCCCTCTCCCGGTTTTCCCCCCTCCCGGTTTTTCCCCTCTCCCGGTTTTTCCCCTCTCCCGGTTTCCCCTCTCCCGGTTTTCCCCTCTCCCGGTTTTTCCCCTCTCCCGGTTTTTCCCCTCTCCCGGTTTCCCCTCTCCCGGTTTTCCCCTCTCCCGGTTTTTCCCCTCTCCCGGTTTTCCCTCTCCCGGTTTTCCCCTCTCCCGCCGTTTCCAAGGCTCCCGAGGGATGAAAGGATCCTTTGAGATCCCGGGAAAGGCCGGAGCTGCCGGGAGAGCGGGAAAAGATCCAAGAGCGGCCGGGGGCGGCTCCCGGGCCTCTTCCCGATTTTCCAGGCCTTTCCATTCCCAGGGAATCAGGGCAGAGCTGGAATTTTACTCCCGGCTTCTTTTCCCACTTTTCCAGGGGTTGCTGTTCCCAGGAAATCAGGGTAGATCTGAAGGCTTAATCCTGGAATCTTTTCCCGCTTTTCCAGGGGTTGCTATTCCCAGGGAATCAGGGCAGAGCTGGGAGTTAATCCTGGAATCTTTTCCCACTTTTCCAGGCATTCCTGTTCCCAGACCTGCTGGAATTTTATTCCCGGGTTCTTTTCCCGCTTTTCCAGGGATTGCTATTCCCAAGGAACAAGGGCAGAGCTGGGAGTTTATCCTGGAATCTTTTCCTGCTTTTCCAGGCATTCCTGTTCCCAGGGAATCAGGGAAGAACTCCTGGAATTTCACTCCCGGGTTCTTTTCCCACTTTTCCAGGCCTTGATGTTCCCAAGGAATGAGGGCAGAGCCAGGAGTTTAATCCTGGAATATTTTCCTGCTTTTCCAGGCCTTGCTGTTCCCAGAGCCGCTGGAATTTCACCCCCTGGAATCTTTTCCCGCTTTTCCAGGGGTTGCTATTCCCAAGGGCAGAGCCGGGAATTCCGCTGGATCCCCTCTGGATCCGTGCGGGAAAACCTTGGGAATCGGAACATTCCCGACGCTCCAATTCCCGCCCGTCCCTTTCCGAGCGGGAATTCCTTTGGATCCCGGCCGTGTCCCGGCATTCCCGAGCCTTTGGGAGCCTTTCCAGGGTTTTTTGGGAATGTTCATGTCGGGATGGGCCCATCCCGGTGCTTCCGTGTCCCGCTGAGCATCGATGGACTGGGGCTTTGGGAATAACGGGATTCTTGGGAATAACGGGATTTGTTGGGAATGGGATTCTTTGAGAATGAGATTTTTTGGGAATGGGATTCCTTGGGAATGGAATTTCTTGGGAATGGGATTTGTTGGGAATAGGATTTTTTTGGGAATGGGATTTTTGGGAAAAATGGGGTTTTTTTGGGAATAATGGGTTTTTTTGGGAATGGGATTCCTTGGGAATGGGATTCTTCGGGAATAATGGGATTCTTTGAGAATGGGATTTTTTGGGAGTGGGATTTTTTGGGAATAATGGGATTTTTTGGGGAGTGGGATTTCTTGGGAATTGGATTTTTTGGGATTTTTTTGGGAATTCCGAGCCTTCTTTTCGAGCTTTTCGGGATCCACTCCTCTCTCCAGGGAGCGCTTTCAATTCTTCGGGAACGTTCGTGTCGGGATGGTCCCACCCCCACGGGAAAAACCCCAGGAATGGGGGAGGGATTTTTCCCGGGAACGCCGAATTCCCGCCTTTTCCCGCAGATGTCATGGCGGCCGCAGTACCGCAGCTCCAAGTTCCGGAATGTTTACGGGAAGGCGGCGAGCCGGGAGCTCTGCTTCGACGGAATTCCCATCACCAAGAACGTCCACGACAATCATTTCTGCGCCGTCAACGCGCGATTCCTCGCCATCGTCACCGAGAGCGCCGGCGGCGGCTCCTTCCTCGTCATCCCGCTGGAGCAGGTGAGACATTCCCGACCGGAATTCCCAAAAAATTCCCGCTGGTTTTCCTGGGGTTCCTTCCTCGTTGTCCCGCTGGAGCAGGTGAGACATTCCCAACCAGAATTCCCAAAAAAAGGGTTCAAATTCCTCCGGTTCTTCCTGGGGTTCCTTCTTCGTCATCCCACTGGAGCAGGTGAGACATTCCTGATGGGAATTCCCAAAAATGTGTCAGAATTCCCGCTGGTTTTCCTGGGGTTTCCATGTCATTCCACTGAGACAGGGAGGATTCCCAATGGGAATTCCCAAAAAAGAGTCAGAATTCCTGATGGTTTTCCTGGGGTTCCTTCCTCATCAACCCGCTGGAGCAGGGGGAATTCCCAACTGGAATTCCCAAAAAAGTGTCCAAATTCCAGCTGCTTTTCTGGGAGTTTCCTTGTGGCTCCTGGGAATTCCCAGCTGGAGCTATCCCATCCCATCCCATGGATCCCATCCCATGGATCCCATCCCATCCCATCCCATCCCATGGATCCCATCCCATCCCATCCCATCCCATCCCATCAATCCCATCCCATCCCATCCTTCCGCCCTTTCCCATTCCCGCCTTTCCCGGATTCCTCACCCGTTCCGGAGGCAGCTCCAGATGGAAGGAATTCTAATCAGGAATTCCAATCAGGATTTAATTGCGGAGCACAGCTTGAGCCTCATTAATATTCCCCCAAAAAAAACCCCGGGAACTGCGGCTCCGGCTCCATCCCGGCTCCTTCCTCACGGATCCCAGCTGGAATCTCCATCCCCAAATCCTGAGGAACAGCCCCAAATTCCCGGAAAAATCCCAACTTTTCTTTATTTATTTTTTCCTGGCCAAACGGAAGCGTTGGGATGCTGGGAAATCCCGGGATATCCAGCGGATCGATCCCGGCTGGAGGAGTTAAAAAATTCCCATTTTTTTTTTCTCCCCTCCGGAGCCTGATGAGCTCATTAAGGAGAATTTTCCTTGGGAATCGGCAGCTCCCTAATTAATCCGGCTCCGTAATTAGCAGCTAACGAAGGTGACCCGGACACCGCCGAGCCGCTCCCGGGATTTGCCGCCGTATTTTTGGATCTTTTTCCCTGGATTTTGCCCTCTGGAATCTGGGCCGAGCTGTCAGCTCATCCCAAAATCCGCATCCCGGCTTTTCCAGGGGGAGATCCCAGGGATTTGTGGGGTGGGAATTGGGAGCTTCGTTCCTCCCAAATTCCGGAGCCTCGGGATTGGGAAGGAGCCCGTCCCCAGCACCGGGATAAAAATATCCCGAGGGAGTGGGAGGAGGACCGGGAAGAGCGGGATTGGCTCCATGGGAACGGGAGAATCCCGGAATTCTGGAATGGTTTGGGTTGGAAAAGAGCTCAAAGCTCATCCCAATCCATGGGCAGGACAGGGAGGGATTTGGGATGGGGAAAAGCTGGATTTGGGAGAGAACAGGGCTGGATTTGGGATGGGACAGGGATGGATTTGGGATAAGGGAAAAGATGGATTTGGGATAAAAGAAAAGATGGATTTGGGATGGGGAAAAGGATGGATTTGGGATAGGGAAAAGCCGGGTTTGGGATAGGGAATTCCCAATTCCAGTCTGGATATTGTTTGGGAATTCCCAAACCTCCTCAGGTTCCTTTCCACGTTCCCTTGGGATTTTCCACCCGGATCCGGAGGCTGCACCAATCAATCCCTGGGGTTTTCCATGTGGGATTGAAGGATGGGGCGGAACAAAGGGATTTTTCCAAGTTTCTGGAGCTTCCCAGGGAATCCGGAAGCGCTCCCGGTTTGTGTTTCCCAAGGGAAAAGCGCTCGGGGAATTTTGGAAGTTGGGATCATTTATCCAAGATTTCCTGCCGGATGGATTTCCGGGAAAACCGGGATTCAGCCCCGGCCAGGGCGGAGCCGCTCCGAGGGTGGGAATTGTGGATTTTTCCCATCCCTCGGATTTGCTGCTGCCGGATCCGATGGAAAATTCATCCCAGATTTCCATCCGGGAGGGAAATTCCTTCTCTCCCATCCCAGAACCGGCTCTGAGCCCTCTGGAATTCCTGGGATTCTCTCCACAGAGCCAGATCTGGATGATCCTGGGGGAATTCCGGGATGGCATTCCCCGATTCCGGAATCCGGAGGGTTCCCATTCCCCATCCTATCCCAGCCCTTCCCAGGGACAGAATTCCCAATCCCCACAAATCCACGTTGTTCCCAAATCCTTTTCCCGAAGGATTTCCCCTTTTCCAAGCGCCTCGGCGAAGGGGGAGGGGCGGAGGATTTCCTCCTTCCAGCGTTTTCCATGGAAAAGCTCGGAGCCGCCGGAGCCGTTCCCGCGGGGCCGGAATCTGGGTCACCGAGCTTCCCGCGGATCAGGGATCCAGGGATTAGGGATTCACCTTGGATTAACTCCAGGCTGCTGCCAAGGCCCCGCTGAAAAACCGGCAAAACGCAGCCGGAATCCCGGAATTTTTTAGGGATTTTCCTAAAAAAAAACCCAGAATTTTTTTTATTTTTCCTTTCCCTCCTCCGGGTGCTCCGGGATCGGCGCATTCCGTGTCCTTTTCCCTCCGAGCGCGACCGATTCCAATCAAAATCCCGGAATTCCTGGGGAAAAGGCGACCCCATTCCCAGAGGGGTTGGGAATCCCTTGGGAATTCTCTGTGATCTGGGAGCGCTTTTCCAGCCCCGATATTCCAGGATTCTGTGAATTCCCGGAGTTCCCTGCCGTCCTTTCCCTGATCCCAGGCACGGATCAGCTGGGAATACTGGGAATACCGGGAATACCGGGAATACCAGACAGACCCAACCCCCGCTCGGCCCATCCCTGCTCCCCTCCTTCCTCCGGCAATTCCCGGGAATCGCCGATTCCTCCTGGAACTCTCCGGGTTTTTCCCGACCTTTTCCCTCCGCTTCCCGTTGCAGACCGGCCGGATCGAGCCCAATTATCCCAAAGTTTGCGGCCACCAGGGAAACGTCCTGGACATCAAATGGAATCCCTTCATTGAGAACGTCATCGCCTCCTGCTCCGAGGACACCTCGGTGAGCCGCAATTCCGGGATGCAATTCCCGCATCCCTCCCCATTCCCGGTTTTTCTCTCCCCTCGGCATTCGGTTTGGGAATGCTGAGGGTGAGAGGCCGATCCCGAATTGTGTCCGGCTCCTGGGCCCATTCCTTATTTATCCTCGATTGGCCCATCTGGCCAATCCCGGAATTCCAGGACAAACCAGGGAATTGGGCCATTCCCAAGGCCGTTCCAGCTGCGGATCAATCCCAGCTGGATCTTCCCAAGGATTCCTTATTTATCCTCGAGGGCCCATTGGAAATGGGGCTGATCCCAGAATTCCAGGACAAACCAGGGAATTGGGCCATTCCCAACCCTATTCCAGCTGCGGATTGATCCCAGCTGGATTTTTCCCAAGGATTCCTTATTTATCCTCGAGGGCCCATTGGCAGCAGGGCCAATCCCGGAATTCCTGAACAAAACAGGAACTCAAATGCAGGAATTGGGTCATTCCCAAGGCCATTCCAGCTGTGGATCAATCCCAGCTGGATCTTCCCAAGGATTCCTTATTTATCCTCGAGGGCCCATTGGAAATGGGGTTGATCCCGGAATTCCTGGACAAACCAGGGATTCAAACCAGGGAATTGGGCCATTCCCAACCTCCATTCCAGCTGTGGATCAATCCCAGCTGGATCTTCCCAAGGATTCCTTATTTATCCTCGAGGGCCCATTGGCAGCAGGGCCAATCCCGGAATTCCTGGACAAACCAGGGAATCTGGCCATTCCCAAGGCCATTCCAGCTGCGGATCGATCCCAGCTGGATTCCCCCAAGGATTCCTCCTTCACCCACCCCGCGTCAGCTGGGCCCATCCCGGAATCCCTGGAAGCTTTTCCTTGGGGAATTTGCTCCCGAGGCGCTGCCGGGCGCGGTTGCAGGTGCGGATCTGGGAGATTCCGGAGGGGGGATTGAAGCGGAACATGACGGAGGCGGCGCTGGAGCTGTTCGGGCACAGCCGGCGCGTGGGGCTCGTCGAGTGGCACCCGACCACCAACAACATCCTGCTCAGCGCCGGATACGACTACAAGGTGGGAATTCCCGGGAATGCCGAGCCCCGGGGTTCATCCCGGGATTTGGATGGAGGGGAGAGCTGGAATGGGGAGGGGTGGGAGGAGATGGGAATGGAGCCTCCTTCCGGGATTGCTGTGGGGCAGGGAGAGATTCCGTGGGAAAGGGAGAGATTCCATGGGAAAAGGAGAGGTTCCATGGGAAAAGGAGAGGTTCCATGGGAAAGGGAGAGGTTCCATGGGAAAGGGAGAGGTTCCATGGGAAAGGGAGAGGTTCCATGGGAAAGGGAGAGGTTCCATGGGTAAAAAGGGAGAGATTCCATAGATCAGGAACAGCTTCCAAAAAACCTGGAACAGCTTCCATAGAACAGGAACAGCTCCCGCCGTTCCCAGTTGTAGCTCCTGCCATTCCCAGTCACAGCTCCCAAAAACCAGGAACAGTTCCCAAAAAAACCCAGAGCAGCCCCCAAAAACCAGGAGCAGCTCCCACCATTCCCAGTGCCATTCCTGCCATTCCCAGCACCATTCCCAGTAGCAGCTCCCACCATTCCCAGTGCCATTCCTGCCATTCCCAGTGCCATTCCCAGCACCATTCCCAGTAGCAGCTCCCACCATTCCCAGTGCCATTCCTGCCATTCCCACCATTCCCAGCACCATTCCCAGCCCCATTCCCACCATTCCCAGTGCCATTCCTGGTGCCATTCCCGGTGCCATTCCCAGCGCCATTCCCAATGCCATTCCCAGTGCCATTCCCAATACCATTCCCAGTGCCATTCCCAATGCCGTTCCCGGTGCCATTCCCAGTGCCATTCCCAGTGCCATTCCCAATACCATTCCCGGTGCCATTCCCAGTGCCGTTCCCGGTGCCATTCCTGGTGCCATTCCCAGTGCCATTCCCGGTGCCGTTGCGGCAGGTGCTGATCTGGAACCTGGAGCTGGGCGAGCCGGTGAAGATGCTGGATTGCCACTCGGACGTGATCCTGTGCATGTCCTTCAACAGCGACGGGAGCCTCCTGGCCACCGCCTGCAAGGACCGGCGCCTGCGCGTGCTGGAGCCGCGCTCCGGGAAGGTCCTGCAGGTGCGACGGAGAATCCCATGGGATGGGGCGGGAATGGAGCCCCTGGATGGGCTCCCGTTGGGATTCGGTGCTCCATGGTGGAGGTGGTGGGAAAGGGGAGGAGTTGGGGGGTTTGGTTCAAGAGCGGCTCCCAAAAACTGGGAACGGCTCCCGAAAACCGGGAACGGCTCCCGAAAACATGGAGCGGCTCCCGAAAACCCGGAACGGCTCCTGAGAACTGGGAGCGGCTGCCGAAAACCGGGAACGGCTCCTGAAAACCAGGAAGAGCTCCCGAAAACCGGGAACGGCTCCCGAAAACAGGGAGCGGCTCCTGAGAACCGGGAGCAGCTCCCACCATTGCCCTGGAGCGGCTCCCGAAAACCCGGAACGGCTCCTGAGAACTGGGAGCGGCTGCCGAAAACCGGGAACGGCTCCTGAAAACCAGGAAGAGCTCCCGAAAACCGGGAACGGCTCCCGAAAACCAGGAGCAGCTCCAAAAACCGTGAGCGGCTCCCAAAAACCGGGAGCGGCTCCCACCATTCCCAAGAGCAGCTCCCAAAAACCAGGAGCAGCTCCAAAAACCGTGAGCGGCTCCCAAAAACCGGGAGCAGCTCCCACCATTCCCAGGAGCGGCTCCCAAAAACCGGGAAAGGCTCCCAAAAACCGGAAACAGCTCCCTAAAACCAGGAGCAGCTCCCACCATTCCCAGGAGCGGCTCCCAAAAACCGGGAACAGCTCCCGGAAACGGGAGTAGCTCCTAAAAACCAGGAGCAGCTCCCAAAAACCGGGAACAGCTCCCTAAAACCAGGAGCAGCTCCCACCATTCCCAGGAGCAGCTCCCAAAACCCGGGAAAGGCTCCCAAAAACCGGGAGCGGCTCCTGAAAACCAGGAGTCGGGAGGAGGGCAGAGGGCTCTCCCTGACCCCCGGGAAAATGGGAATTTTGGCTTATCCAGGGGCTTTCCCCGGGATTTCCCCGGGATGGGAGCGGGGGAGCAGGGACGGGGCTTTCCTGGGATGGGAATTCCGAAGGGAATTCCAGAGCCCGTTCCCGCCCCGCAGGAGGCGAGCTGCAAAAATCACCGCGTCAACCGCGTGGTTTTCCTGGGAAACACCAAACGGCTCCTGACCACGGGAGTGTCCCGCTGGAACACCCGGCAGATCGCGCTCTGGGACCAGGTCAGTGCCGCTGGAATTCCTGCTCCATCCCGCTGGAATTCCTGCTCCATTCCCTGCCGGAATTCCTGCTCCATCCCTGCCGGAATTCCTGCTCCATCCCTGCCAGGATCCGGTTCCATCCCTGCCGGAATTCCTGCTCCGTTCCCGCTGGAATTCCTGCTCCCATCCCTGCCGAAATTCCTGCTCCAACCCCGCCAGGATCCTGCTCCATTCCCGCTGGAATTCCTGCTCCATCCTGGGCAGGATCCCTGCTCCATCCCTGCCGGAATTCCTTCTCTAACCCCACCACGATCCCGTTCCATCCCTGCCAGAATTCCTGCTCCATCCCGGGCAGGATCCCGCTCCGTCCCTGCCGGAATTCCTGCTGCATTCCCACTGCAATTCCTGCTCTATCCCTGCCGGAATTCCTGCTCCATCCCGGGCAGGATCCCATCCCATCCCTGCCGGAATTCCTGCTCCATTCCCTGCCGGAATTCCTGCTGCATTCCCACTGCAATTCCTGCTCTATCCCTGCCGGAATTCCTGCTCCATCCCGGGCAGGATCCCATCCCGTCCCTGCCGGAATTCCTGCTCCATTCCCTGCCGGAATTCCTGCTCCATTCCCGCCAGGATCCGGTTCCATCCCTGCCGGAATTCCTGCTCCATCCCGGGCAGGATCCCATCCCATCCCTGCCGGAATTCCCGCTCCATTCCCGCCGGGATCCCGCTCCGCTCCGCGCGGGATGCCGCGGCGAGCTGCGGGATTTTCCCGTTTTCCAGGAGGATTTATCCATGCCCCTGACGGAGGAGGAGATCGATGGACTCTCGGGGCTCCTCTTCCCCTTCTACGACGCCGACACCCACATGCTCTACCTGGCCGGGAAGGTACCGGGACACGGCATTCCCAAAAAGCCCCCCGGGAATTCGGATCCAGGGATATCCCCGCCACGGGAACACATTCCATCACCCCCGCCCAAGCCAGGGCATTCCCGCGATCCAGGGGCAGCCCCGGTTTCTCCGGGAATTCCATCCCCGCCTCTCCCCAGGGAACAACTCCCGATATCGCGATATCCATCCCTTGGAAATGCTCCTAATCCCGGGTTTTTTTTCCCACTTTTTCCATTCCCATCCTTGTTCCCGGCTGTTCCAGGGGGATGGGAATATCCGGTACTACGAGATCGGCTCGGAGAAGCCGTACCTGAGTTACCTGATGGAATTCCGCTCGCCGGCTCCGCAGAAAGGGCTCGGTAAGGGCGGAATTCCCGCGGGATGGGGAAGGAGCGGCACCAGGAAAAGGGCTTGGATCGGGTTTGGGTTGGGATTTTCCATGCGGGAATTCCGGGCCGATCCCGATGCTCTCAGGGATTTTCCACGTGGGAATTCCGGGCCGATCCCGGTGTTCTCAGGGATTTTCCATGCGGGAATTCCAGGGCTGATCCCGGTGTCTCTCAGGGATTTTCCGTGCGGGAATTCCGGGGTTGATCCCGATGCTCTCAGGGATTTTCCACGTGGGAATTCCGGGCCGATCCCGGTGTTCTCAGGGATTTTCCATGCGGGAATTCCAGGGCTGATCCCGGTGTCTCTCAGGGATTTTCCGTGCGGGAATTCCGGGGTTGATCCCGGTGCTCTCAGGGATTTTCCATGCGGGAATTCCAGGGCTGATCCCGGTGTCTCTCAGGGATTTTCCATGTGGGAATTCTGGGCCGATCCCGATGCTCTCAGGGATTTTCCACGTGGGAATTCCGGGGCCGATCCCGGTGATCTCAGGGATTTTCCATGCAGGAATTCCGGTCCGATCCCGCTGTCTCTCCGCAGGGGTGATGCCGAAGCACGGCCTGGACGTCTCGGCCTGTGAAGTTTTCCGTTTCTACAAACTCATCACGCTCAAGGGTCTCATCGAGCCCATCTCCATGATCGTCCCCCGGCGGGTGAGCCCCGGGATCCGGGAATCTCCCGCATCCCGAACGTCCCGTCCCAGCTCCGGAGCCTCCTGCCCATCCCGGCTCCGTCCCCGGATCCCGCCGTCCGTCCTCATCCCGGGGAATTTCCCCCACGGTTTAACGGGAACGCTTTTAGGGAATGTTTCTCCCAGGGTTGGGTCTCGCCTGAGGATTTTTGGGAATTTCTCTCTCGGATCGGGGTTTTCTGGGAAGCAAATCCGGCTGGGGGTGGGAACGCCATCCCAGGTTCTCAGCACTTCCCAAATTTCCTCCCCGCGCCCAGAGATTCCCGATTTTCCGGGTGTTTATTCCCTCGGTGGGGGGAGGGGAGCGGATTCCCAGATCCGTTCCCGGATCCCAGCGCTGTTCCCATTTTCCCAGTCGGACACGTACCAGGAGGACATTTACCCCATGACTCCGGGCACGGAGCCGGCCCTGACCCCGGACGAGTGGCTCAGTGGGGTCAACCGAGGTAAAGCCAGTGGGGGACGATCCCAGAAATCTCCGGGATGCGGGAAAAGGGCTGGCAGGCGGTGATCCGGGGGTTTTCCCGCAGATCCCATCCTGGTGTCGCTGAAGGAGGGATACAAGAGGAATTCCAAGGTGGTGTTCAAGGCGCCGGTGAGGGAGAAGAGGAGCGTGGTGGTCAACGGGATCGACCTCCTGGAGAACGTCCCGCCCCGCACGGAGAACGAGGTGGGGCAGCCCCGGAGCGGGAATGGGAAAATGGGAATGGGAAAATGGGGATGGGGAAACGGGAATGGGAAAATGGGGATGGGAAAATGGGGATGGGAATGGGAATGGGATGGGAAAATGGGAATGGGAATGGGAAAATGGGGATGGGAATGGGAATGGGAAAATAGGATGGGAATGGACCTGGAAATGCACTGCGCTGCCAGTCTCCATTCCAATGCAGAAGAGACTGTGGGATCCACCAGGACTGGGATCCCGGGATCCATCCCAGGACGTTCCCATGGAAATGTGGGATCCATCCCATGATCCTTTCCCATGGTGGACAGCTTTTCCAGGGACACTTCCCACCGTTCCAGGCTGCTCCAGCCAGACCTTGGGCACTTCCAGGGATCCAGGGGCAGCTGCAGCTTCCCTGGGAATTCCATCCCAGGCCCTCCCCACCCTCCCAGCTGGGAATTCCTTCCCAAAATCCCACGGAAATCTCCCATCCTTCAGTTCAAACCCATCCCTCATCCCCAAAAATTTTGTCCCATTCCCAACACGGAGCCGGCAAAACCCTGGGATGAGCCGATCCCAGCGGCTCCATCCCATCATCTCCATCCTGCTTTTCCAGCTGCTCCGGATGTTCTTCCGGCAGCAGGACGAGATCCGGCGCCTGAAGGATGAGCTCTCGCAGAAGGACGTTCGGATCCGGCAGCTCCAGCTGGAATTAAAGAACTTCCGGAACAGCCCCAAGAACAATTGAGCCCATCCAGGGCCCTTTTCTAAAGCCATTCCCAAGTTTCTACTCCCAAATTCCCTGGATTTGCTCACCCGCGGCGCAATTCCGGAATCCGCGGCTGCCGAGAGCCTGGAATCGCGTCCCGCGCGTCTCGTCCGGCACTAATCCCGCTCTAACCCGATTCCTGGGAATGCCTGGAGGCTCCGGGTCCTGTCGGATGTCGGGATGAGCCCGGGTGGATTCCCGGGAAAAGGCGGAAATTCCCCGCTCTTCCTTTCTTCTCCTATGCAAAAACGCGACGGCGGGAACGGAACTGGAAAAGGGGCGGGAAGAGGGAAGGGCTGGATGGGCCAAGGGGATTCCGGGTGGGAATCCGGGATCCTTCCCGGGCTGGGAGTTTGGGATCCTTCCTGTGATCCTTGCCCATGGTGGGAGCCTGGGATCCTTCCCATGGCAGGAGGAGGGGATCCTTCCCGAGGTGGGAATCTGGGATCGTTCCATGGTGGGAATCTGGGATCATTCCATGCTGGGAATCTGGGATCCTTCCCGAGGTGGGAATCTGGGATTGTTCCATGCTGGGAATCTGGGATTGTTCCATGCTGGGAATCTGGGATTGTTCCATGCTGGGAATCTGGGATTGTTCCATGCTGGGAATCTGGGATCCATCCTGCAGTTGGAGACTGGGATCCATCCCAGGACCCTTTCCCATGGTGAGAACTTGGGATCCTTCCTGGGATGGGAATCTGGGATCATTCCTGGGATGGGAATCTGGGATCCTTCCTGAGGTGGGAATCTGGGATCATTCCATGCTGGGAATCTGGGATCCTTCTTGTGGTAGGAATTTGGGATCCTTCCCATGCTGGGAATCTGGAATCCAGCCCAGGACCCTTTCCCACGGTTGGAACTTCCCATGGTGGGATCCCGGGATATTCCTGGGGTGCTGCCCCAGGGCTGGATCCCGAGGGTGGATCCTGAGGGTGGAACGACACCAGATCCCAATTCCCAGAGATCCCAATTCCCACTCGATCCAGGCCGCTGAAGTTCCCGGGGTGGATCTGTCCCGTCCGTGTCCCGCGTTCCCACCGTTCCTTCCCGGTATTCCCGGCGTTCGTTCCCGGTATTCCTGCCGTTCATTCCCGCCGTTCATTCCCGGTATTCCCGGCGTTTCCCGCTGCCTTCCCCGTGCTGTCATTCCCGATTATTTATGCTCCCGCGGGATAGCGATGGAATAAAACCTTTGCAGGATACCAGAGCCGTGTTCCCGCTTTTCCTTCTCCATCCGGGGGGATCCCAAGGGAAATCCCGGGATTTGCGATTCCTCCGGAGCAGCCGGATCCCGCAATCCAGCGGGGATCCTCCTTCCGGCATTCCCGGCTCATCCCAACGTTTTCCAGAGGGAGGAAAAGCCGGATGAAGCTTCCCCGGGATCCGGGAGCTCCTCGTTCCCAGCCCAGCAAAGCCGGGAGAGGATTTTCCGGGAGAAAGGCTCCGGTTTTCCGGGATAATCCCGTGGAATTCCCAAGGGAAAACATTCCAGGAGCTTCACTCACCCCCAACCTCGCCCTGGGCTTCATCCAAAGGATTTCAGGGAGGCAAAGGGGATAAAAATCTGGGAATTCCCACTTTTCCAGAGCCACAATTCCTTCTTTTTATGGTCCTAGAAAAATCTGGGAATTCCCGCTTTTCCAGGGTTGCCATTCCTTGTTTTTTAGGGAGCCAAAGGTGCTAAAAATCTGGGAATTCCCGCTTTTCCAGGGCCGCCATTCCTTGCTTTTTCCCGGAAAGAATTCCAGAGGCGGGATTTGTATCAAAAGCTTTATTGAAATTCCTCAAAGCCAAACAGACAAAAACTCCAAAGGTGGCTCTGCCGGGCCCCCAAATTCCCAAAAAAAAAATCCTGGAGCCGCTGGATTTCTACACACGGAAGCTTTCCTAGGAAATCCGAGTCACTTCCAAAGGGATTTTTCCCGTGGGATCTGGACAGTCCCCGAGGATTTTCCGGGTTTTTTGTCTCCCCCAAGGTAAGAAAATCGAATTTTCAGGAATTTCCATGGAATTTCAGGCATTTCTCCTGGAATTCCCGGCTTTCTGGGTGGAAAAATTGGGATTTTCCAAGCGGGTTTTTTTCCTGGATTAGGGGTGGAAATTCCAGAGGGAGCTGATTGGGAAAGGGGGGAGGAGTTGGTTTATTCCAAAGTCGGGAAATTTGGGAATTTGGGGTATTTTTTTTATAAAGATTCCCATTTTTTTTTTTTCCATGCCTGCCATTTCCAGGGATTTGGCTGCCACCAAAAATTCCCAAAATTTCCCCTAAAAACCCCCCCAAAAAAACCCCCAAAAATAATAAAATAAAAAAAAATTCCCTAAAAACCCAAAAATTCCCATCCCAAAGGAAAGGAAAACCGGGAACACACAACACGCAGGGATCGCCATCCCGAAAAATCCGACATTCCCAAAAAAACCAATAAACAACCCCAAGGTTTGGTCGCTATTTACAAAGAGGGAATTCCCAAAGTTGGGAAAAGGGGCTGGAAATGGCAGCATTCCCAAAAAAAAAAAAACCATGGAGCAAGGCAGCATGGCCACCCCAGGGAGGAGCCATTCCCGAAAAAAAACGCGGATTTGGGAATGGCGGAGGCGGGAAAATCCCGGCTGCTCCGTGGATTTCGGCTGGGTTTTCTCTCCTGGTTTCGCTTCCGAGACGTCCGAGCTCCGCTCCGAGAATTCCCGGCTGGATTTCCCACCGGAATCTCGCAGGTTCCAGGGATTCAAGGAAAAGGATCCGAGGGAAAAGCAAAAATAAAAATAAAAATAAAAAATAAAAATTCCCAAAGAATCGGAGGAGGAGCGGCAGTAAAAATAGGATTTTATTCCCTTCCCACCCCGGCTGCTCCCGCTCGGTTCCCACGGCAACGTTACAATCCGGAAAAAAAAACCAAAAAAAAAAAACCAGGAAAAGAAAAGGAAAATCCAAAGGGTCGGGAGTGGGAAAAGGGGGAATTCCGGGATAAAAACAGTCAAATCACAAGAGGGAATTTTGTTTTTCCGGGGAAAAGCCGCTCAGTCGTCCTCGTCCCCCTCATCCTCCGGCTCTCGTTTCCTCTTCTGGCCCCGCTCTTCCTCTGGGAAAAGGAAACAATTCCCGTTATCCCCAGCCCGCTTGGCCGGGAATTCCGCGGAATTCCGGCGGTTTTTCCGTGGGAAAAGCGGGATCGGGGCCGTACCGGGCTCCTCCTCGTCCTCCTCGTCGTCCACCTCGCCGTCGTTGTAGCCTTCCTCGTCCTCCTGGAATTCCCGGAAAAGCGGGATGAGCTCGGGATGGGAGCGGGAGCTTTCCCGATGATCCCGGTCACCAAGGAGGGGACAGTCCTTGGAATGTCCTCAGCGAGGAGCCGCTTCCCGCTGTTCCCGGTTTTTAGGGAATTCCCAGCATTCCCAGTTTTAAGGGAATTCCCAGCATTCCCGATTTACGGGAATCCCAGCATTCCTGTTTTCTATGGAATTCCCAGTTTTTATGGAATTCCCAGCATTCCCGATTTTATGGAATCCCCAGCATTCCCGGTTTTTATGGACTAGCTGGCTCTGAAATCCCCAGGAATCCCGAGCTGGGAAAATGGGAATGTGCCATTCCCAAGTTTCCCCCACCGGACAGGGATCGGCAGGAGCGGGAAGAGCCGGATTTATCCGGAGCCTCTGGGATAAATCCTGAGGGGCTCGGGAACATTCCGGAGGGGCCGGGGGGAGGGAAAACATCCCATAATCCCAATTCCCGCTCCCATCCCCTTCTCCTTCCTCCAATCCCATTTTCCCCCATCAATCCCATTTTTCCCCATTCCCATTTCCCCTCAATCCCATTTTTCCCCTCAATCCCATTTTCCCCGTCAATCCCATTTTCCCCATCAATCCCATTTTCCCATCAATCCCATTTTCCCCATCAATCCCATTTTCCCCCCTCAATCCCATTTTCCCCCCTCAATCCCATTTTCCCCCCTCAATCCCATTTTTCCCCCCATCCCAGACTTCACCTGCCCCAGCCCAAAGCAAATCCCACAATTCCTCCAATCCCGGATTTCCTTCCCGGCCGGAATTCCAAGGCTCACCTCCTCCTCTCCGCTCACATCCTCCTCCTCCCCTTCCTCCTCCTCCTCCTCATCCTCCTCATCCTCCACTACCTGAGCGTCGTCATCGTATTCCTCCTCTGGAAAAACAAAATCCATGGAAAAACTCCAGCTTTCCTTCCTAACTCCACCCAAATCCTGGGAATCCCAGCCGAGAATTCCTCAGGGATTGGCAAGATTGTTGGGAGCTCTGGGAATGCTCCGGCTGCTCCGCTTCCCGCTGTTCCCAAGGACTTGGGAGCTGGGGAATCCCGTGCAAAATTCCAACTTTTTCGGGGATTCCCAAAATAAAACTCTCAAATCCAGCAGAAATCCGGGAAGTGCCGAAGCCCTGGAGCGTTTTCCATGTGTTCGGGGGTTTTTGGGAACCTTCCCAGAGTCCCCGCTCAGCATTCCCGGGAAAAGTGCACATCCAGCTTTTCTGCTGTGCCGCTGCCATGGGAGAATCCAGCAAATTCCCTGGGATTGGCCGGATCCTCGTCCTGGGATGGCTCCAGGGGCAGCCAGGGAACAGGGAATTCTCTGGAATTCCCTGGAATTCCAGGCTGCTCCTTCCCTCAGGGAGCAGCTCCCTAATTCCCGCTTTTCCATGAGGATTCCCACAATTCCCACCACATCCGCTCATCCTCATTCCCGTCATTCCTGATCCCAGATTGAGGATCAGGATTTTCCGGGCCCTTCCACCTCCTCCCGTCATTCCTTGGGGATTGGGAATTCCATGGGGAACATCCCACGTACCATCCTCATCCTCCTCCTCGTCGTCCAGCCCCTCCACGTAGCCCTCGGCGTCGGAATCCGGCGCTTCCTTCTCATCCCGCTCTTTCACTAGGGATAAAACTGAGCACGTTGTTCCCTCAGGCCCTGCCCAGCTCCTTCCCGCCCTTCCCAACATCCTTCCCTTCCCTTCCTGACATCCTTCCCTTCCCTTCCCTTCCCTTCCCTTCCCTTCCCTTCCCTTGCCTTGCCTTCATTCCTTTGGGACACCAAAATCCTTCCCCTCATTCCCTCATTCCCTGATTCCCTGAGGATGCCGAGCTCCTTCCCCTCATCCCTCCCCTCAATTCCCACATTCCTCCCCTCATTGCCTCATTCCTTCCCCTCATCCCTTCCCGTTCCTCAACTCTTTCCTCTTCCCTCCCCTCCCCTCTCATTCCCTCATCCCTTCCCTCATTCCTTCATTCCCTCATCCCTTCCCTCATTCCTCATTCCTTCCACTTATCCCTTCCTTCCCTCATCCCTTCATTCCCTCATCCCTTCATTCCCTCCCCTCATCCCTTCCCTTATTCCTCATCTCTTCCCTCTTCCCTCCCCTTCTCATCCCCTCATTCCTTTCTGTCATTCCCTCACTCCTTCCTGTCATCCCTCCCCTCATCCCTTCACTCCCTCATTCCTCATCCCCTTCCCTCATCCCTTTCCTCATTCCTTCATTTCCTCATCCCTTCCCTCATCCCTCACTCCTTCTCATCATCCCTCCCCTCATCCCTTCATTCCCTCATCCCTTTATTTCCTCATCCCTCACCTCATTCCCTCACCCCTCCCCTCATCCCATCCCTCCCCAATTCCCCTATTCCCCCATTCCCTCCCTCCCCACCATTCCTGTACCATCCTCCTCCTCCTCCTCCTCCTCCAGCCCCTCCACGTATCCCTCGGCGTCGGAGTCGGGCGCCTCCTTGTCGTCGCGGTCATATCCGTCCAGGTAGGTGAGCTGCGGCAGCAGCTTGAACACGTTTTCCCGGTAGTCGTTCAGGTTGGTCACCTCGCAGTTGAACAGGTCTAAGCTCTTCAGGTTTTCCAACTTTTTCTGGGAAAATACAAGGATTTGTGTTTTTCCATGGATACGATCGACTCTTAGGGAATCCTTCCCTTTAACGTGGAAAAAGGCCTGGAAATGGGAAAACTGGGAGAGCTGGGAGCAGCTCCGCCTTTTCCGTGTGCTGCGGGACAGGAGATCCAGGAAGGAACTCCTGGAAGGGTTTTCATGGGAATTATTGTGGCTGGAGGTGGATCCCGAGCCCGCGGAATCCTGGGAAGCTGCGGTGATTCCCGCCGGGAATGGGGGAGCCCGGCCCGGCAGCCACTAGAGGGAAGCAGCGGCTCACCGGGAACGGGAGCAGGGATTTGGGATTTTGGGATTAGCTGGGATTTTGGGAAGGAATGAGGGGAGGGTCTGGCACAGATTCCAGGAGCGACATTCCCTGGAAGCGCCCAAAGCAGGGCTTGGAGCAAACCGGGCTAGAGAAAGGAATTCCAATGATTTGGAATAGGATGAATCCCATTCCTGGCAGCGAAACAAATTCCCTGGGATACGGGATGTGGCCTGGATCCCAGGATTAGCTGGGATTTTGGGAAGGAATGAGGGGAGGGTCTGACACACATTCCAGGAGCGACATTCCCTGGAAGTGCCCAAAGCCAGGCTTGGAGCAAACCGGGCTAGAGAAAAAAAATTCCAAGGGTTTGGAAGGGGACAAATCCCATTCCTTGGAGCAATCCTGACTCACCAGAGGTTCTATTGTCCCGAGATCTTTAATTTTGTTGCCGCTTAGGTTTAGGTGCGTGAGGTTCGGACACTTCTCTGCCAACACTTCCAGGCCTCCTGAGATTCTGTTGTCGCTCAGCTCGAGCTGCAAAGGCCCAAAAACATCCTCAAAAATCCCGTTGGATCCATTCCAGCCGCTTTTCCGCAGGGGAAAAAGGGGAAAGGAGGGATTTTGGCTCTGGGGAAAAGGAGGGATTTACCTTCTTAAGTTTGTTTAACTTTGGTAAGTTTGCGACTGAGGTTAAGCCGACGTTGATTGTGCTGAGGAATTCCAGCTCCTCAAACTCATCCGTGAGGCCCTCGATTTTCCCTTCGTACGACCGGCAGTTGTCCAGAACGAGCTCTTTCACCTGCAAAGGGAAGAAATCCAGGGAAAAAAGGTAAGGAATTCCGAGGAATTAGCGAGAATCGGGAAGTTTTCAGTGGAAAAAGGCGGGAGTTTGGGGTCGTGAGGAGAAGAAAGCCAAGATGGAGGCAGCGCTCCTGATCCCACAGGCTGAGGGGAAAAAAACCCCCAAAATTCCCAAAATAAATTCCCAAATCATTCGTTGGATTGAAATTTAGGTGGAAAATTTGTGGATCTTCTCCTTCAGTGGTGTTTAGTTATGAGGATTCTCCAGAGGATTCAACTGGGGATAAATGAGATTTTTCCCCTTGTGTGAAGGGGAAAAAGCCCATAAAATTCCCAAAATAAATTCCCAAATTACTCACTGGGGTTGAAATTTAGGTGGAAATTTCATGGATCTTTTCTCTCAGCGGTGTTTAGTTACCAGAGGATCCATTTGGGATAAAGAAAGAGTTTTTTCCCCTCACGTTCCCCACACACGCCACAGAGTTCCCGCCAAAACAAAAAAGGCGGGAAAATGGCAATGGAGGCGAATCCTCCTTATCCTCATCCCTGCTCCGCCATCTCATCCCAGCAGCCCCGGACACGGAGCCAGCAGGGCTCGGGATCCTCAGCGGGAAGCTCCAGGTGCGGTTTGCCTCACGGGAATTTGGGAATTCCTCACAGGAATTGTGGGAGCTGAGGGGAGCGGGGAGGGAGGGAAAGGGCACAGAGGTGACGCTGAGGGACAAACAGCTCCAGCCCTGATACCACACGCTGAGGGGAAAAGCCACAAAATTCCCCAAATAAATTCCCAAATCGCTCGTTGGGTTGAAATTTAGATAGAAAACCACCCAAAACCAAGGAAAATACGTGGCTCTTTTCTCTCAACGGTGTTTAGTTATCAGGATTCTCCCAAGGATCCATGTGGGGATAAATAAAGAGGATTTTTTCCCCCATCATGTGAGGGAAAAAGCCCCCCAAAATTCCCAAAATAAATTCCCAAATCACTCGTTGGGTTGAAATTTAGGTGGAAAATTCATGGGTCTTTTCCCTCATCAATGTTTAATTATCAGATGATCCATTTGGGGATAAATAAAATTTTTCCCCCTCATGTGAAGGAAAAAGCCCATAAAATTCCCAAAATAAATTCCCAAATCATTCATTGGGTTGAAATTTAGGCGGAAAATTCGTGGATTTTTTCCCTCAATGGTGTTTAATTATCAGGATTCTCCGGAGGATCCATGTGGGGATGAATAAAGAGGATTTTTCCCCTCGTGTGAGGGAAAATTCCCAAAATAATTTGGGAATGGAGGGAAGGGAGGGGGAAACAGCTCCAGCCCTGATCCGGGAGGTGGGATATCCATCCCTCCATCCTCCCTCCGAATGGAAAACCAGGAACTGGACAAAAAAAACAGTGAATTGGACAAAAATTCCCTCGGGTATAGAACGGAAATTTATGGAAAAGCTGGGAATAGTCTTGGATCCGAAGGAAAACCCTGGAGCATGACGGCCAGAGGCCCAACCGCCTTTTTTCCCCTTTTAATTTGCATTTTTTTTTAATTTTGGAATGTTTTGGGTTGGAAGGGACTTCAAGGATCACCCCGTTCCAACCTCTCCCTGGAATTTTTTCAGGAAGGCTGTTTCCTGCCCGCTTTTCAGGAATTTTGGTGCACAAGTGCCACATTCCCTCCTTCCCTGCTTCCAGCACCGGGCAAATCCAACAAATCCATGGAGAAAGCTCCTGGAATCCAAGAGGCCGCCTTTGGAAAGCTTGGATGAGTTCAGAGATATTTGGGAAGAGCGGAGGGCGTTCCCAACCCTTCCCAAGAGCGACGTCGTGTCGGTGTGAACTCCCTGAATCCCTGGAAACGACGGCATTCCCAACAAAATTCCGGGACTCCTAGGCTCCACGTCCTAGGAGTCCCCAAGGAAATCCGGGTGTGCCAAAGGAGGAGGAGCTGGATTTGTGGGATTTTTCCCAGCACCCCACAGCTCTCTGCCTTCCATAAAATCTCAGAATTCCAAGGAGGAGAAGCCTTGGGAGGAGAGGCCATCGCTTTTCTCAGCACCTCTAACAGGGAACTTTTCCAAGGATTTCTCTCCCTCAAAATTCCAACAGGAGGTGAGAAATTCCCTGAATTTCCCATTCCGATCCCACCTGGAACGCGACCAGGCCGGCAAAAGCTTGGATGAGCTTCCCCTCCTCAATCCCGGGATTAGTGGAGCCTCTCCGAAGGCTCTGATGAGCCAATCCCTGCTCCGGGATCATCCCAAAAATCCCCAAGCTCGAGGAGCTCGTTGAAGAACTCATCACTGAAATTCCAGCTGCAATTCCAAGCTCTCCGAGCCATCCCAGTGGAAAGCAGGGAAGGATTCCATGGAAAACCTCCTGGCAGCTGCTCTGGGTCCACTTGGCCGGAGCTCCAGAGCTCTTCCAGGTTTTCCAGAGCCCTTGGAATTCTGCCCAGGGCAGGGAGGGCAGCAGGTGCCATGGCCAGCGGCCACCGGGGATTCCCATTCCATGGGATTCCCGTTCCATGGGATGATTCCCGTTCCAGGGGGATCCTCAGCTGCTGCTGCTGCTCAGGAACACAGAGCTGACCTGGAGCAGGACCCGATTCCACAGGGTAGGGAGAATTCCCATGGTTTTCCATCCTTTTTCTGCCCTGGGATAAAGAGTGGATGGAATTCCAACCCCAGCAGGATTTGGGATACGGAGCCCTCGAGGGCTGGGAATGGGATGGAATAGACTGATTCCTGAGGATCCTTGGGAATGCTCTGTCCCCGCCACTTTCCCAGCAGCACATCCAACTGGAATTCCAACCAGGAATTCCAGAATCCTTGGAAAACACCACCAGCCACCGACCCAATCCCAGCGCCTGTCCAGGATTGCACTTCCCTGGGAATACAGGATTCCCACTGGGAATGGCCGAGATGGGATGAGTTGATTCCCAGGCAGTTATCCAGCAGCATCTCCAGCTGGGAATGTGCTGGGAAGAGAATCCCAAAAATCCAGGAGCAGGGAAAAAACGGCCACGGAACCCGATTCCCGGGAAATCCAGCAGCCAAATTCCATGGAAATCCAGGGAATCGTCCTAGAGAATCCCACGGCAGGGCCTGGGTGGGATTAATGCGGAGACCGGGATTGGGAGCAGAATTCCATCGGCACCGCCAGGAATTCTCTGGGATTTCTCCAAGCTCCAGTTTATGGGAATTCCCCCTATCCAAGCAATCCTGGTCCCTTTGGCGGGAATCTGGGATTCCCGAGGGAAACCAGGATCCTTGGGAATGCTCCCTTCCCGCCTCTTTCACACCAGCTCATCCGACTGGAATTCCAACCTGGAATCTGAGAATCCTTGGGAAACGCTCAGGAAAACCAACGGAATGCAGCCATCAATCCAACCTTTCCGGGATTGAACCTTTCCCAGGAACACCAAATTCCCACCCCGGGAAGCTCCAAACCCGTCCAGGCTTCCCCAAAATTCCGACTGGAATTCCTCCTCTGCCGCAACTTCCATGGAAAACCCCGCCAAGAATTTCCGTTTCCGGCATTCCGGGATGATCCCTGAGGTTGGAAAAGCCATCCAGGATTGAGCTGTGCCTGGTCCCAGGAATTCCAAGGAATTCCTTGGAAACTCCCAGGAATTCCACGAGGGCTGCCTTTTCCAATGTTTATCCACCTTTTCCATGAAAAAATTCCAGCTGCTGTCCCACCTGAGCCTCCCTGGCATTCCAGCTCATCCCATCCCTGTTCCCTGGGAGAAGATCCCAGTTAAAATTCCAAAGGAATTTCAGGAAGATTCCTTCTTAATCCTCCTTTTCCTCCTCTCCTCCCCTCCAATCCATGGGAATTCCACCATGAAGCAAACTGATTTTTATTCCTCCCAATCCCGGCTTTAAAATTCCCAATATTCCCATTCCTGGGTCTCCTTTTTGGTTTTTTTCCACCTGAAAATTTTAATTCCAGAGAGAAACATTGGAAAAATCCGTGGAAAATTCCCTTTAAAATTAAAAATGGATTTAAAAAAAACCTTTTTCCTTCCGCTGTTTTTCCCATTTTTTTTGGCATTCCGTTGGATTCAGTTTCTGCCTCTTGAGAATTCCCTTTTTTTTTTGGGAAATTCCAAATGTTCTGATGGAATTTGGGGGTGATCAAGGAATTTCTTCCCTGCTTTAAATCAAATTTTCAGCCTAATTTTAATCATATTTAACAGGATAAAAAGTGGGAAAAAAACTGCCAGAACATCCAAAAATTCCTGATTTTCCAGCACTAAATCCACATTTTTCCTGAAGAGACTGAATTAATGGAAAGAAAAAAAAAAGGGGGGGGGGTGGAATTTAAAAATGAAACAGCAAAAATGAGACTGAGGAAGAAACTTCTCCACAGAATCCACCTGCAGATGTTTTCAGGATGTTTTATTAATCGGGATGTGACTTTCTGGGATTATCTGATGGAAAAGCCCAGAATTCCATGGAAAAACTGGAGATCCAAGTGGAAAATATCCCAAAGAAACTCAGGAAAAAGCACAAAATCCCATCCACACCCAAGGATTTCATCCTGATTTCAGGAGAAATCAAGAAGCAGCACAGAATTGAAGGGAATTCCCAAAACTCTGAGGGATTTTCCCAGGATTTCTCGATATTCCACATCAAATTGGGAAATAGTAAGGACAAACATTCAAAATTAAGGGAGACAATTCCCAAATTCATCCTGCCCACCCAAAACTTCCCGAAATCCAGGAATAAACGACTTTGGCATCGATATTCCTGCCACATCCCAATCCCAGGGGGTGGAATTAGCAGGATTTTCCTGGAATATTTGAAAGGAACAAAATTCATCCCACAAACTTCATTCCCTAAAAAAAACCACGTGCACACAGCTCGGAACACAACAACACTCCCAACTGGAATTACCAGCTCTCCGCTTAAAAATCTTGGAAATTGGGATTTAGAACACTCTGAGGGGGGAAGGGGATCAAAGCACCGAATTCCCTGACAATTCCAGGGAAAAGCAAGCGGTGAAAGGTGAAATTATCCCGATTTTCCAGCTCCCTGCTGCCCATTCCCAGCCCTGAGGAGCAGGGAACTCTTTCCAGCTCCGAGTTTTCCCAACTTTTTTATTTGAAGCAAAAGCGAGCGGAAACAGTACAAAATCCGAGCACGGAAAAGAGGGAAAAATGAAGTTTATGCCTTTGGAGGATGTTTTTAAAAGAGCGTTTCAAATGGGGGGAAAAAAACCTCGCAGCGATGAGGGCGGTGAGGCGAAACGAGGGCAAAAATCGAGCAAGAATAGAAAACTCTTGGGAAAAAAAACGGGAAAAAAACATGAAAAAAAAATCAAGGAAAAAGAAGAAAAACAAAAAAGGATGAAAAAGAGGAAAACACTTCCCGAGCCCAACGCTGCCTCCCTACAGGGCCCTGCCCAGGAAGGAGGCGCATTCCGCGCTCCTCACCGGGGGGGGAACCGCCTTCCGTAGCTCCGGAAAAATTTTAATAAAACCCTCATTATTAAAAAATAAAACAAAAAAAACCCTTTTTCTTATTCTTTTTCCTATTTTAAATTTTTTTTACCCTCACGAAATCTCCTCCCGCCTCGCGGCCGGCGACAAAATGGCAGCGCTGCCCGTCATGTCGGGAGGGCTCCGCCGCAAGCTCCGCAGCGCCTCAGCCTCGGCGCCAGCGGGGCTCCCTCACGGCCCCGCGGGGCCGCCCGCGGCCGAGGCAGCGGCGGGAGGAGGAGGAGGAGGAGGCGGCGGCCGTGAGGGGAAGGCGGGGGATGTGGAGGGGGGGGGCACCACAGAACATGGCGCCGCGTCCTACTTGCGCTCCCCTTCGCCTCACGGAGCTCCCCCTCGGCCATGGCGGTTCTACCGCGTTGAGTCCCCCGCCCTCCCTCTCGCCGTCCTCTTCTTCCTCCTCCTGCTCGCTCAGGAGTTTTTGAAACTCCAAAGCGCAGCTTCCGCCGCTCCGCGCCCGCCTTTGTCCCCCCCCTCACTCTCCCTCGGAGCACACACACACACACACACCGCGCTCCGCTCGGCCGCCGAGTCCCGCCGCGCTGCCCCGGGCGCTGCCCGCTGAGGTACGTTCGCCCTCCGCTCTCCCCTTCCCGCAGCCTCCGGCGGCTCGCGGGGCCGGGGCTCGGTGAAGCCTCCCCGGGCAGCGCTGAGGGCCCGGCGGGGCCAGGGGGGGATGAGGGGAAGGGGCTTCCCCGCCGCGGCTCCGCGCCCCGCCTGCCCCCGGCCGCCTCCCGCCCACTCTTTTTTTTTGGGGGGGGGGGGGGGGGGTAATTTTTCTATTTTTCCCTTATTTTGCCGCCAGCCCGCTTATTTTCTTGCTCGTTTGGGGGGTTTTGTTGGGGGTTTTTAGGGATGGGGTTGTTTTGTTTTTTTTTTGTCCTGCCAAAGTTTTTCGCCGTCCCCCGCTTATTCCGCCAGACGCGGAACAACAACCTGAAGTCCGGCCCCGGGGGAAGGAAGGGGGGGAAAAGGGGGAAGAAGGAAAAACACGCACACACATCCAGCCCTTTTTGTGCGTGTGTATGTGGGGATGGAGGGGGTGGAGAGTGCGTTGATTTCTTCTAATATTATTAATTTTTTTTATTATTATTATCATCCTTACGATCGTTAGGATTATTATTCAACGCTCGCTCTACCGGCGGCGATGCCCCATCGCCCGCAAAATAAATAATGAAAAAAAAAACCAAAAAAAAAAAAACAACAACAAGAGGAAAAAAAAAAAAAGCCCAAAGCAAACCCGACCAACGCTAAGCGTCGGTTTGAAAATTCTTTCCTTTTATCTTCTCAGCATCTGGAGAGAGTGAGAGAGAGAGAGAGAGAGAAAGGGCGCGTTCATGAGGACTACAAAGTTACAAATATGGCTCCCCAGTCTCTCTTGCCTGAACACTGCAAAGAAATGAAGACGCACTTTAAACTAAACCATTCGCAACTCACTCGCGGTCCCTGCCTGCCTCTCCCTAGCCCAGCACCCTGCACAAATATTTGCCAACTAAACACGCCGAGAGAGAGAGCAGCGAGCAACTTATTTTTTATTTCATGCACGGCCAGCCCCTCTGCGAGGGCATCGCAGCCCGGCACGGGCAGGAGCGGCCCCGGGGAGCCCCCGGAGCTCCCCGGAGCTGCCCCCGGAGCGGGGCTCCGGCCCCCCACACACACAGGTAGGCACCTCAAGGGCAGCAGCGGCCCCGCCAACACCTGGCACGCTCCACCCCGCCAAAAAAAAAAAAAAAAAAAAAAAAATTAAAAAAAAAATAAATAAACCGTGGGATGCCTTTTTATTATTCTCATCATTAGCGTTATTAGCGTTAATTTTTTTTTTTTTTTTTTTTTTTGGCATTGCATTGCTTACATCTGAGGGCGTCCTGTTCCGCAGCTCTAAGTGGATCCTTTTCTTCATGTCCATGTCCGTGGCTGGCGGGAGGCGCGGAGGGTGCGCGGCTCGGCTGGCGCAGTGACCCCGTGCAGAGCCCCCCGATCGCGGGGCGCGGAGGGACTCGGGCTCGCCCAGCGCCGCTCGGAAGCCCGAGCGCAGCACCGCGGCGCGCACTAACCTGATAACCGCGGGGGCGGGCGCTCCGGGGGCTCCGCCGGGATTGACGGCAACGTCGGCCAATCGCAGCGCGTCGCCGCCGCGTCTCGGCCAATCAGCGGCGCGAGGCGCGGCGGAAGCCAATGGGGGAGCGGCTGTGCCGGCCAGGGGGACAGCCCGGCGCCGAGCCCTGGCTCATTCCGCGCTGCCGCCCGATGGGGACGGAACGAGCGCGGCTCCGCCGCGCCGGGAGCGGGGCGCGCTGCGCGCTGCGACCGCCGCAGCCCGCGGGAAGCGCCAGGCCGGGCAGCGGCGGCCGAAGCGGAGCCGCCCGGCCGGGGCCGAGCAGCCAGGAGGGAGGGAAAGGTGCGGAGCGAGGCACGGCAATGGCGCGGGCAATGGCGCGGGCCCCGGCGGCGGGGGGCGGGCGGAGCGCGAGCGGCGGGCGGAGCGAGGGAGGGGCGGCGGCGCTGAGGGCAGCGGGAGCGGCGCTGAGGCCACAGGGGCCGGGGGCAGCGGAACCGGAACGGGGACGGCGGAACGGGGCCGGGGGAAGCGGAACGGGGCTGAGGGCACCGGAACGGGGCCGGGGGCAGCGGAACGGTGCCGAGGGAAGCGGAACGGGGCTGAGGGAATCGGAACGGGGCCGGAGGAAGCGGGGCTGGGAGGCAGCGGGAGCGGCCTGGCCGCGCTCAGAGAAGGGAAAGAACGGAACGGAAAGGAAAAAGGAAATTGAGGGGAAAGGAAAGGAAATAGAAGGAAAAGGAAGGGAAAAGTAAAGGAATGAGGCTCCCCCGGCAGGCCCTGAGGGACTCGGGCTCGGCAGCAGAGCCAAGGACGGGAATCCTTCAGCTCCCGGGAAAAACGGGAAGGAATCCTTTCCTTGGAGTGCCAGGACAGGGGGGATGGATTGGGGCTGGAGGAGAGCAGCGATGGGTGGGATATCGGGAAGGAATTCCCAGAGAAGCCAGGCCTGCCCCTGGATCCCTGGAATGGCCAAGGTGGATTGGAAGTGGATGGGTTTGAGGTCCTTCCCGAGGCAAATCCCAGGAATTTGGAAGGAAAACGGGAAACTCCCGGAGCAGCGGAATGGGGATGGAGCCAGGCTGGGAATGCTGGAGAAGGGAAGGATCCAGGGAATCCTCAGAGCCTTTTCCTGGAGGAGCTGCAGGAGGGCTGGGATTGGGATCAGGGCTGGAATCCGCAGGATTTTCACAGGAATTCGTGGGATTTTTCCCAGGAATCTTGAACTGATGGGATTTATTTTTCACAGGAACTTCTGGGATTTTTTCTCAGAATTTTGAACTGACGGGATACATTCTTCCCACCGTGAAAAGAGAGGCTGGGGTGGAATTCCAGGGATATCTGTGGATCCTGGAATGTCCAAGGTCAGCTTGGAGCAGCCTGGGAGAGCGGGAATGATCCCAGGCCACGGAATAACGGGATGAGCTTCACGCTCCTTCCCATCCCAGAGCGTTCCCCGCTCCCGGCTCCTTTTCCGGGATGAGGATCCAATCCCAGAGCTGCTCTTTTCCAAGGATTTGAGGATTCCCAGAGTTGCCATCAGGTAAGACAAGCTTGGATTCCCTGGAAAATTCCCGTTTATCCCTTCCCGCTTCGCCTGCAGCTTTCCCTGGAAAGCAGGGCTGGCAAATCCCAAGGAAAACATCCAGGGAATGCTGCAAATCCTTAGAAAATTGATCCACAGGGCGGGATGGAGTTGGAGGCTGAGCCATAAGCATGGAAAAATTCCGGGAATGCGGCCGCAAACAGCGGGAATCACCTTGGGAATGAGATGGGAAAAGCTGGATCCAACTCCAGGTAAAAATTCCAATTGAAGCACAAGGAAACCTGCAGAAAGTTGGGAATTTTGGGGATGGTTTGGGGATTTCCGGTGGAATTTCGGGATTGGCTGAGAAATCCTGGGTTGGAATTCATGTTCCAAACTTTGGGAAAGGTTCGGGATTTGGGAATGAGGCGGAATTTTGGCTGAGCTCTGTTGGAATTTCTCCTTTCCAGGCGTGTCCAGAGGCTCCTGCGCCGAATCTTTGGGAATTTTTCATGGAATTTCTGCTCCCGGAGCTGCCGAAAACCTTTGGAAAAAGACTTTTCTCCTGGGGAAAAAAAACAACAAAAAATGCTGGGATTTGAAAGGAATTCCTGGGAATCCAGAGCTGGATTTTTCCTTTGGTTTTTGGGGATGTTTCTTCCCAAAGAAAAACGTGGATGGGAAGGTGCAAAAAAAAAATTCCCTTTTCCTTTCGTTCCCGAGGGAATTCATTCCCAATTCCAAGGGAAAATTCCGTGTTTAAAGCTGCTCCTGACGCCATTTGTATTCCAAGAGTTTGGGAATTAAAAAAAAAACCTCGGGAATTAGAATCTTGGGAATAAATTGGGAGATTTTTTTTTTTATTCCAGGTTGGAATTTTCCCGCTGTGTTTTTTTATTCCCGGGGATTTTTTGGTTTTTTCCTGCTTGGTTTTTTTTTTCCTTGGAATTTGGGATTCGCGGGGTTGGGTTTGGAATGGGAATTTTTGGGATTTTTCCTTGTTTGTTTCCAGCAGGAATTTGGGATTTTTGGGGTTGGTTTGGAGCAGGAATTTGAGGGGTTTTTTTTCCTTGTTTTTATCGGGAATTTTTAATGGAATTTGTGGGGTTTTTACCGGGAATTCGGAATTTTTCCCTGTTAATTTTTAACAGGAATTTCTGGAGGTTTTTTTTCTTTTTCCTTGTTAATTTTTACCAGGAATTTACCAATTTCTGGGATTGTTTTTTACCGGGAATTTTTCATGGAATTTGTGGGGTTTTCCCTCATTTATTTCCCCAGGAATTTTTTTCCCTTCCTTTTCCCAGGATCCCCCCCCTGCAAATTCCATGGGAATTCTGTTAAAAAATTTGGGATGGCTCCAAAATTCCCTAAAATTCTCTGGGAAAGTTTTCCCAGTTTGTTGTTTTTTTTTTTTTTTAATTATTATTCTTGAATTTATTTTCTTTTTCCTGGGAAAATTGCTGGGATAATTGGAACATTCCTGCTTTTTCCCACGGAATATTCCAAGATTTTCCCGCTTCATTGGCCTGGATTGGTGGGAGAATTTTGGATAAAATCCCCCCAAAAGTTCCGGATGAGTTAAAAAATCCAAGGAATTCCGGGATAATCCTTCAGAACTTTGGGAATGGAATAAATTTGAAGCAGAATCCACCGGGTTTTTTTGGGAATAAAAATCCAATCACTTCACACGTGGGAAAGGCTGGAAAATCCTGGATTTCTGGGAATTTTTCCTGGCAGAAATCCGTGAAGGGGGGTGGGTGAAAAACGGGAAAAAAATCCCCGGATCCGTGGAAAATTCGTGGGAAAATCAAGGAGGGGGGAAAAAAAAAACCCGGGAAAAGCCAATTTTGGGGATGAAAACTTCCAGGGAATTCCAGGAAAAATCAGGATAAAAACAGTCTTGGAAGTGAGGTGAGAAACGGGAAGAGTGGGAATGGCAGAATTCCAAGGAATTTCCTGGAGGGGAATCCGTGGGATCCACGGAGCTGCTCCCAAAAACTGGGAGAGGATTCCCATGGAAAGGAAAATCTGGGAATTCTGCTCCGATCCCGGCCCGCTGGGATGGATCCAGAGGGTTTTTCCTGGCTGCTTTTCCAGGGATTCCGCTCCCGGTTGTTCCTTTTGGGAATTTTTCCCATTCCTGCTCTTTTTCCCAGGGATTTTCCCACGGGAATGTTGAGTTTCCCGCCTTTCCAGGATTTCCCGGAACTGCTGAGAGCGGGAAAATCCCGCGGAATCCGAGGAAAAGTTGGGAGTGGGAGGTGGTTCCCTGTGGAAAACGGGGCTGAGGGTGAGGAAGTCCTTCGGAATTCCAGGAAAAGTTGGGAATTGAGGGCGATTCCCATAAAACCAGGGATGGAAAGGGATTCAGTTCCTCTGGGAATGGGGAAATCCCACGGGATCCGGGGAAATGCGGGAATTGGGATTCCCCAGAGAGAGCAAATCCCGCGGAATCCAAGGAAAAGTCGGGAATGGAGCTCCCATCCCAAGGCCCCCATTCCCAACATTCCCACCTGGAATTCCCAACCCTTGGAGCCCCAAATCCCGCTGGGAGCCGGAGAATTCCCAGTTTTTTCCCAATGGATGCACCTGGATACGGTGGGAAAAGGCGGGAGGAAACCCCGGGATGAAGCGGGAGATCCCGGGAAAAGGCCGGCTTCCATCCAGGTTATCCCGGCCGTTATTCCCGGCGGGAATCGGGAATGTTTTCCGTCCGGAGCCGCTCCTGCCATTCCCATGGCAACCCCGAGCCGGGATTCCCGCTGGGAATCAAGAGCCAGAGGCTGGAAATGGCATTCCCGGCTGTTCCTGACGGGCGGAATTCGGGATCGGCTCCAGCTGGATCTGACAGGAACACAATTCCCGGCGGGAAAAGGGAGAAAGAGCTGGAAAAGCGGGATGGGCGGGATCCGGGAGCGGGGTTTGGGATTTATTCCCGGCTGGATCCGTCCCTCTCCTCCGGAGCTTTCCCGGGATTTCCCTCGGGAGGCTCCGCGGATCCGTCGGGGGAGAACGGGAGAGGTCGGGAATGCGGGAATTTGGATCCTGGGGAAAGGGGAATGGAGGGAATGGGAATATGGGAATGGAGGGAATGGGAAAGGGGGAATGGGAATGGAGGGAACAGGGGAGGATCCCTGCTCAGGTTTCCCGGGAGAAGAAATCCCCAGGGATGTTCCCGTGCTCCGAGCGATGATCCCGGGATTGGGCTCGGCAGCTCCGTGGAAATCCGGGATTCCGCAGGCGGCGGGAGCTGCTGGAATCTGGCCAATCCCAGCGGCATCCCAACGGGAACTCCCAGGGGATGGCTGGGACTGAGGGATGGCTGGGATTCCGGGATTGCTGGAATTCCGGGAACGCTGGAATCCCGGGATCACCAGGATTCAGGAACACTGGGATTCGGGAATGCTGGAATTCAGGGATCACTGGGGTTCAGGATTGCTGGAATTCCAGGATCACTGGGTTTCCGGGATCACTGGGATTTCGGGATCACTGGGATTTCGGGATCTCCGGAATTCCGGGCTGGCTCCGCAGCCATGGCGGCAGCGGATGCAGACGCGGAGTGGCTGCGCTGGGCCAGCGAACGCTTCGGGAACGGCGCCGGGAAGGAGCCGGAGATCGGCCTGGAGGAATTCACACGGACCCTGGGGATCAAGGAGGTCGGGAATCCGGGAAAGGATCCCGGGAAAAGGGATCTGGGAAAGGGATCCCATGAAAAGGATCCTGGGAAAAGGATCCTGGGAAAGGGATCCGGGAAAGGGATCCCACGAAAAGGATCCCAGGAAAAGGATCCAGGGAAAAGGACCTGGGAAAGGATCCTGGGAGAGGATCCCGGGAAAAGGACCCCTGGGAAAAGTATCGGGGAAAGGATCCATGGGAGAAGGGATCCCAATAAAGGGATGCCAGGGAAAGAGATCCCTGGGAAGAGGGAATGGAATCCATGGGAAGAGGGGAGAGATCCATGGGAATTCCCTGTTCCCTGGGAACATTCCCGATTCCCAATTCCCAGGGCACAGTCCCCATTCCCAGGGCACATTCCCAATTCCCCATTCCCAGGGCACATTCCCAATTCCCCATTCCCAGGGCACATTCCCGTTTTCCCAGGGCACATTCCCCTTTTCCCAGGGCACATTCCCGTTTTCCCAGGGCACATTCCCCTTTTCCCAGGGCACATTCCCGTTTTCCCAGGGCACATTCCCCTTTTCCCAGGGCACATTCCCGTTTTCCCAGGGCACATTCCCCTTTTCCCAGGGCACATTCCCGTTTTCCCAGGGCACATTCCCCTTTTCCCAGGGCACATTCCCGTTTTCCCAGGGCACATTCCCCTTTTCCCAGGGCACATTCCCGTTTTCCCAGGGCACATTCCCGTTTTCCCAGGGCACATTCCCGTTTTCCCAGGGCACATTCCCGTTTTCCCAGGGCACATTCCCGTTTTCCCGCAGTCCTTCTTTGCCGAGCGTTTTTTCGCGCTCTTCGATTCCGACGGGAGCGGCTCCCTGAGCCGGGAGGAGCTGCTGGGATCCCTGCGCCGGCTGCTCCGCGGGAATTCCATGGAAAAGCTCCACTTCCTCTTCCAGGTGTACGACGTGGACGGTGAGAGGAGAAAATCGGGATCCGGGGGGGGCTTTTTTGGGATCCCTTTGGGATTTGAGCAGCCGGGTTGGGCTGGGATGAGCCGGAATTCCCGGTTCCTCCTTCCGGCCGGGAATGGTAGAATTCCAGCCGGAAGCTGAAGATTCCCAGGATTTCCCAGCAGCCGGGAAAAGCTGGATGGGCTCCGCTCCGATCCCAACTCCTCATCCCGGTTTTCTGAAGTGCTGGGAATGTTGGGGATGGAAAAGCCCTCGGAGATTGAATCCAAGCATTCCCGACACTTCCAATGGCTCCCTTTCCATGGAGGAACATTCCCAGAAATCCCAAATATCCCAGAAATCCCAGCTGAGCCTCCCCTGGATGCCTTTCCTGTTATCCTGCCCCTCATTCCTGCCCCATCCAGGATTTTCCCGGACTGGAGGTGCGGGAGGGGGATGAGCCCATGGAATGTTGGGATCCTCATCCAGATTATCCCAGTTCCTGGATTAGGACTGGAAAACTGGGGTGGGGATGACTCCATGGGGCTGGAATTTCAGGATGGAGATGATTCCATGGGCTGTGGAATTTTGGGATGGAGATGATTCCATAGGCTGGAATTTTGGGATGAAGACACCTCCATAGACTCTGGAATTTCGGGATGGAGATGCCTCCATAGAACTGTAGGATTTTGGGATAGAGATGATTCCATAGGCTGGAATTTCGGGATGGAGGTGGCTCCATAGACTGGAATTCCGGGATGAAGACGCCTCCATGGAGCTGTGGAACATTGGGATTCTCCCGTTTTCCCAGGGAGCGGCTCCATCGATGGGCAGGAGCTGCTCCAGGTGCTCCGGGGGTGTCTCCGGGAGAGCTCCCTGGCCCTGCCCGAGGAGCGGCTCCGGGCGCTGAGCCAGGCCCTGCTCCGCGCCTGCGACCGCGACCGCAGCGGCTCCATCTCCTTCCCGGAGCTCCGGGAACAGCTGGAGGCGTTCCCGGAACTCCTGGAGAGCCTGAGCATCAGGTGGGAACGGGATGGGAGATCTGGGAAGGGATTCCATGGGGACAGAGCTGTGGGGCCGGGAGCAGCCGGAGAGGTTTGGGATTGGATCAGGGATGGGGTGGGATGGAGCAGGGTTTGGATTTTGGGATGGTTTGGGATGGAGCAGGGAATGTTCTGGGACGGACACAGGGATGGATGTGGGAAGGGCCGGGTACCACCCACCCAACCCCGAATTCCCACCCAACCCCAAATTCCCACCAATCCCCAATTCCCACCAATCCCAAATTCCCGTTTCCCAGTGCCGCCTCCTGGCTGAAGCCCCCCAGTCCCGCCGAGCGCCGCCTGTGCTGCTTTTCCTGGGAATCCTGCCGGGAGCAGCGGGCCGGGCTGCGCCGCTTTTCCCGGGAATGCGGCGGCCCGGGCGGCTTTTCCCGGGAATGCTGGCGGGCCGGGATGCGCCGCGTTTCCCGGGAATGGCGCTGGCCGGGGCTGTGGCTCGCGGGCTCGGCGCTGCTGCTCGCCCTGGGCGCTCTGCGGCACCGGGAGCGCGGCCCGGGAACCGCCCTGGCCCGGGGCTGCGGGGCCGCCCTGAACCTCAACTGCGCCCTGCTCCCGGTGAGGGACACCGGGGACACCGGGGGGACACCGGGGGGGACAGACTGGGGACATGGGGACAGCCTCCCTGAACCTCAACTGCGCCCTGCTCCCCTTGAGGGACACTGGGGGGACAGCGAGGGGACAGCAGGGGGACAGACAGTGGGACATGGAGGGGACACCGAGAGGACATGGGGGCACACCAAGGGGACACTGAAGGACATTGTCCCCTGTCCCTGTTCCTCACTGTCCCCCAGGCTCTGATGTTGCGCCGTTCCCTGTCCCCTGTCCCTCTGTCCCTCTCTGTCCCCTCTCTGTCCCCAGGCTCTGATGTCCCCTGTCTGTCCCCAGGCTCTGATGTCCCCTGTCTGTCCCCAGGCTCTGATGTTGCGCCGTTCCCTGTCCCGGCTCCGCTCGTGGCCGCTCTGGGAGCGGCTCCCGCTGGAGCGGCACGTGCGCGGGCACGCGCGCGTGGGACACCTGGTGCTGGCCCTCGGGAGCGCGCACGCGGGAGCGCACCTGGGAGCGCGCCTGGCACGAGCCGGTCCGTGCCGGGAACCGGGAAACGGGATAGGGGATACGGGAACCGGGAACCGGGAGATGGGATACGGGAACTGCGATAGGAGCCGGGATAAGGGAACCGGGATATGGGATCCTGGGATGGGAGCTGGGATACGGAACTCGGGATGGGGATCCCAGGGATGGGGGAGCGGGGCCCAGATCCCAAAGAAAAGCTGCCCGTGTCCCGGGATCCCGGGGATGGGATCTCCCGTGTCCCGGGATCCCGGGGATGGGATCTCCCGTGTCCCGGGATCCCGGGGATGGGATCTCCCGTGTCCCGGGATCCCGGGGATGGGATCTCCCGTGTCCCGGGATCCCGGGGATGGGATCTCCCGTGTCCCGAGGAATGCCCTGGAGAAGGGGTGCCCGTGCCGGGGGCGCTGCGAGGGCACGGGCGGGATGGGACAGGGGACAGGGGACAGGACCGGGCACGGGCGGGGCACGGACAGGGGACAGGACCGGGGACAGGACGGGGCACGGGACGGGCGCAGCAGCCGCGGGCTGTGACCCCCTCTAGCGGCTCCCGCCGGGCACCCCCAGCGGGATCCCAAATCCCAATCCCAAATCCCAAATCCCAGCACGGTGCCAGGGCTCTCTGCCCCCCGGGCTCCTCCCGTGCCCGACAGCCGGGACGCGGTGCCAGGACCGGGCATTCCGGAACCGACATTCCCGAACCGACATTCCCGGGTGGGCATTCCCGAACCGACATTCCCGGGTGGGCATTCCCGGGTGGGCATTCCCGAACCGACATTCCCGAACCGACATTCCCGGGTGGGCATTCCCAGATGGGCATTCCCGAACCAGCACTCCCATATGGGTTCTCGGGCTCTCTGAGCCGTGCCGGTGTCCCCGGGATGTCCCCGAGCTGTCCCCGGGATGTCCCCCCTGTCCCTGTGACCGTGCCGGTGTCTCCGCGCTGTCCCCGGGATGTCCCCGGTTCTCTCTGCCCGTGCCCGTGTCCCCGCGCTGTCCCCGCGCTGTCCCCGCGCTGTCCCCGGGTGTCCCCGTGACCCTGTCCCGGTGTCCCGGTGTCCCCAGGCGGGCCGTGCTCGGAGGCTGTGGCGGAGCTGCTGCTGCCGGGGCCGGGCTCTGGCGGCGTTGCGGGCACGGCCCCGCTGACCGGGCTGGCGCTGCTGCCGCTGCTCCTGGCCATGCTGCTGGGCTCCAGCCCCTGCCTGCGCCGCCGCGGACACTTCCAGGTGATTCCCGGCAATTCCCGGCCGGAACGCCGCGTTCCCGGGGTTCCCTCCCCGACGGGACGCGGGGAATGGATTCCCACGGGGAATACCGGGAAGGAATTCCCGGCTGGGAGGAGCTGGGAGTGTCCAAGGTCAGGCTGGAGCAGCCTGGGACAGCGGGGGGTGTTGGGATCGGGACTGGAGGGGATCGAGGTCCTTTCCAAGGCAAATCCCAGCGATTCCAGGATTCCCTTGGGCTGCCTTTTCCCACTGGGATACCCAGACAGCCCCAGCAGGAAGTGCCAGTTGGCTCCAGCAGTTCCCATTCCCATTCCCACCCCCATTCCCATCCCAATCACCATTCCCACTCCCATTCCCGTTCCCATTCCCATCCCCATCACCATTCCCATTCCCACTCCCATTCCCACTCCCATTCCCGTTCCCATTCCCAGGTTTTTTACTGGACCCACCTCTCCTACATCCCGGTGTGGTTCCTGCTGCTCCTGCACGCTCCCCACTTCTGGAAGTGGTTCCTGATTCCCGGCTCCCTGTTTTTCCTGGAGAAGGTTCTGGGCTGGCTGTGGCGCCGGGCAGGAGATCTGCACATCCTGGAGGCCAGGCTGCTGCCCTCCAAGGTGGGAATGCATCCCGAATATCCCGAATATCCCAAATCCCAAACATCCCAAATCCCAACCATCCCACATCCCACCATCCCAGCTCCTCCGGCCACTCTGGGAATGACGGAACAAACACGGCAAACTCACAGCGGGGGGCGGAAAGAATTCCTTTATTTCCTTTATTTCCGAGCCTTCTTCCCTGTTTTCTTCAAATGAAAACCCACGGAACAACCGGAACTCCCGGAACTTGGAATTTTTTCCCAAAATCCCGTAGTTTGATCCCAGTCTGAACCAGACGGGAGCCGGAACCCAGAATTTCCGCGGCGCTTCCTGCGATGGGAGCCGGAGGATCCCGGAGGATCCCGGAGGATCCCGGCAGATCGATCCCGGTTTTCCCACAGTTTGTTTTCCGGCAGGTGACGCACCTGGTGATCCAGCGGCCGGAATCCTTCCGCTTCCAGCCGGGGGATTTCGTCTTCCTGAACATCCCGGCCATCGCCGCCTACGAGTGGCATCCCTTCTCCATCAGCAGCGCTCCGGAGCAGCCAGGTCCGGGAATGTTCCAGCCTGGGAATGTTTCAGGTCCGGGAATGTTCCAGGTCTGGGAATGTTCCATCCCTGGAAATGTTCCAGGCCAGGATCTGTGTCCCATTCCTGGAATGTTCCAGTCCGGGAATGTTCCAGCCTTGGGATCTGTGTCCCATCCCTGGGAATGCTCCATCCCTGGAATGTTCCATCCCTGGGAATGTTCCATCCCTGTGATCCATTTCCCATCCCTGGAATGTTCCATCCTGGGAATGCTCCATCCCTGGGATCTGTTTCCCACTCCAGGATCCGTTTCCCACCCCTGGAATGTTTCCCAGCCGATGTTTTTCCAGCCGGGATGGGGCTCGGAGCGAGCCGGGCTGTGGGAGGCGGTTCCGTGGGATGAGTTGGGTTTCGAGCTCTTCCCAATCCAGACAATCCCAGGATTTTGGGATTCATCCCACAGAAACCCTCTGGCTGCACATCCGGGCGCGGGGCCAATGGACCAACAAGCTCTACGAGCACTTCCAGCGGCTGGAATTGCACGGCCCGGAGCCGGATCCGCCCGGGAAGAGCCGCAGGGAGCGCTGGGAACAGGTGGGATCGAGTGGATCCCACGGGATCATCCCGGTCTGCAGCCGGGGAATCCCTCGGGATGGACATTCCCGGCTGGTCCAGCCTTGAAGGATTCGTGTCCCTTGGAACGGGAATTTGTGTCCCTCCATCAGGGTCACACGGCCTTGGCACAAGGACACAAAATCCCATTGGGATTTGGGATGGATGGATGGGATTTGGGATTGATGTGACTTTGTGCCCCATGGAATGGGATTTGGGATGGATGGATGGGATTTAGGATTGATGGGAATTCCCAGCAGATCCCTGGGAGCGGCGATCCCAGCGGCGATTCCCAACCTTTGTTCCCAGGAAGGATCCGTGGCCTCCGGCAGGGACGGAGCTGTGGAGCTGCTGGCGTTCCGAGCCTCCGGAGCTGCTTTTCCGGGAAAGGACCCGGAGCAGGGAGTGAGCCCCGCCCCGATCCCAACGGGATAAAGCTCCCCAAAAAGCCGCGGGGGAAGAAATTCCTTGGATATTTCCGTGGCACTGAGAGCTGGAATTGTGTGGGCAGCCGGGTGGGAAAGGCCCCAAATCCAGGGAATGTGGGGAGCGCTGGGAAGGGGGGGATGGTCACAGCTCCCCTCTCCTCCAGGGCTCCGGGCCCGGAGAGACCCCCCGGAGCTGCAGCGTCAAGGTGAGACATTCCCGCTTTTCCTGGATCCCGGGAAACGGCCTGGGATCAGCATTCCATCCATCCCAGCCACGTTCCAGGCACTCCATCCCTGTTCTCTCCATCCCACCCACGTTCCCAGCTCCTCCATCCTGGATCCCTGTGCACGGATCCCACCTGGGGCTGATCCAAGCCCTGCCCCGCTGGAAAACTCCGCCCCGTTCCTTGCTCCCATCCCAAATTCCGTGATCCCCTTTGTGCCCTTCTGCTCCGCACGGGAGCTGCTCCAGCACCTGGAACTGCTGGATCTGTCCCAGGTCAGGATCTGTCCCGGGTCAGGATCTGTCCCGGGTCGGGATCTGTCCTGGGTCGGGATCTGTCCTGGGTCGGGATCTGTCCTGGGTCGGGATCTGTCCCGGGTCAGGATCTGTCCTGGGTCGGGATCTGTCCTGGGTCGGGATCTGTCCTGGGTCGGGATCTGTCCCAGGTCGGGATCTGTCCTGGCTCCGCATCTCTCCTCCCTCCGGATCTCTCCTCACTCTGGATCTCTCCTCACTCCGGATCTTTCCTCACTCTGGATCTCTCCTCACTCTGGATCTCTCCTCACTCCGGATCTCTCCCGGCTCTGGATCTCTCCCGGTTCCGGATCTCTCCTCACTTCGGATCTCTCCAGTGTTTCCTGGACGGTCCCTACGGAAGCCCAAGCCGGCGGATCTTCACCTCGGAGCACGCCGTGCTCATCGGAGCCGGCATCGGGATCACCCCCTTCGCCTCCATCCTGCAGAGCATCATGTTCCGGTGGGAATCCGGGAATCTGGGAATGCGCCAGGCAGAGCCCTGACGGCATCTGGGATTGGATGTTCTCCAACCCTCGATCCTTGGGATTCCGTCCTCGGGATTCCGTCCTCGGGATTCCGTCCTCGGGATTCCATCCTTGGGATTCCGTCCTTGGGATTCCGTCCTCGGGATCCCGTCCTTGGGATTCTGTCCTTGGGATTCTGTCCTCGGGATTCCATCCTTGGGATTCCATCCTCGGGATTCCATCCTCGGGATTCCGTCCTTGGGATTCCGTCCTCGGGATTCCGTCCTTGGGATTCCATCCTCGGGATTCCATCCTTGGGATTCCGTCCTCGGGATTCTGTCCTTGGGATCCCGTCCTTGGGAATTTGGGCTGCGGGAAAAGTGCTGGAGGGACCTTGGCCATGGGCAGGAGCCAGGAATGAGCAGGAAAAGTCAGGAATGTGCAGGAAGGAGCAGGGAAAGTCAGGAATGTGCAGGAAGGAGCAGGAAGTGCCGCTCATTCCCCTGTGCAGGTACCGGCGGCGGATGCGGAGCTGCCCCAGCTGCCGTTTCTCCTGGAGCGAGGAAGAGCGGGATGAGGAGATGACGCTCCGGAAGGTGCAGTGGGAAGGGATCTGGGATCCAGCCTTGTCCTGGGATGGGGAGCCCAGGAGCGTTCCCCAAACAGGGGAGCTTTGGGATCGGGGCTGGATCTGGTGCTGGGATCTGGTTCCAGGATCTGGAGTTGGGATCTGGTGCTGGAATTTGGTTCCAGGATCTGGATCGGGATCTGGTGCTGGAATTTGATGTTGGGATCTGGTGCTGGAATTCAATGTTGGGATCTGGTGCTGGGATTTGGTTCCAGGATCTGGATTGGGATCTTGTGCTGGGATTCGGTGCCGGGATCTGGGGTCAGGATTTGATGCTGGGATCCAGTGCCGGGATCCGGTGCTGGGATCCGGTGCTGGGATCCGGTGCGTGCCCGAGCCGAGGCTTTCCCGCTCTCTCTCCCAGGTGGATTTTGTCTGGATCACGCGGGATCAGCAGCACCTGCAGTGGTTCCTCAGCCTCCTGGCCCAGCTGGAGGCGCAGCAGGCGGAGCTGGAGCCGGAAGGTGAGCAGGAGCACCCATTCCCAGGAAAAAACGGGAGCCGGGTGCTGGCGGCAGCCGGAATTCCCGGAATGAATTCCCAGGGAAGTTCCTGGAGCTGCACCTGTTCATGACCTCGGCCCTGGGCAAGGGGGACGTGAAGGCGCTGGGGCTGCAGCTGGCGCTGGATCTGCTGGCGGCCCAGGAAAAGCGGGATTCCATCTCCGGCCTCCGCAGCCGCACCCAGCCCGGCCACCCCGACTGGGCCAAGGCACGGATCCCACCGGGAACGGGAACGGGGGCGGAGAGTGTCGGGGAATGGGATCGGAGAGACAGGGAATGGGACTGGAGAGCTGGGGAATGGGATTGGAGAGTTGGGGAATGGGATCGTGGAATCAGGGAATGGGATTGTGGAATTGGGAATGGGATCAGAAAATAATGGAATGGGTTGGGTTGGAAGGGACCCCAAAGATCAATCTCATTCCAACTGTCTCATCCAGCCCAGGGATCGTGGGGTCATGGAATGGGATCATGGAATGGGATCACGGGATGGGATCAGGGAATAGGATCATGGAATGGGGCCACGGAATGGGATCACGGAATGGGGCCACGGAATGCCGGATCGGGCTGGCGCAGGCGGGAATTGCGGATCCGCCCGTGCCGAGGATTCCGGCTGTTCCAGCTGTTCGGGAAGGTGGCGGCGGAGCGGCGCGGGAAGGTCCGGGTGTTCTTCTGCGGCTCCGCGGGGCTGGCCAGGATCATCCGCGGGCACTGCCGGAGCTTCGGATTCGCCTTTTCCAAGGAAAACTTCTGAGCCGGTGGGAGCGCTTCCCGCCGGCAGCCGATCCCATCCCAGCTCGGATCCGCTGGGGCTGGGCCACGGAAATCTGGGAAAAGCTCCTGTGGATCCGAGGAATAAAAAAGATGGGAAAGTTTCCTTTGGATCTGAGGAATGATTCAGGAAAAGATGGGAATGTTGGGGTCGATGGAAGCAATTCCAGCTCCTTGGCAAAACCAAGGGAAAACTGGGATGGGAATCGGTGTCCGAGAGGTGCCGCTCCCTCCAGCCCGGAATCTGCGCTGGATTGGGATTGGTTTTTCTGATAAACCAAGGGAATCCAGGAATCAGGAGCTGGCGAGGCCATGGATAGCAATTCCTCTTGGAATTCCTGATCTTCCAGCCTTTTCCACGCCTGGGATCTGCTCCGTAGCGACGGCTCCTCGCGGGCAAGGCGCGGAATTCCCAAGATCAGCGCCGGATCGGGATTGAATCCCGTTTGTCCGGCGCAGGGGGGGCTCTGCCGGCTTCCTCCCGAGCTGGGCGGGTTTTAGGGATGGAGGATTTGGAATTTCTTTGGAATCATGGAATGGTTTCTGTTGGAAAAGCCCTCGGAGCTCCTGGAGTCCAACCACGCCGCTGTCCCCAGGTGCCACATCCCAAGGGTTTCAACCCCTCAGGGATGGGATCCCAGCCCTGCCTGGAAGCTGTTCCAGGCTTGGAGCTTTTCCAGGTGGAGATTTTCCAGGTGGAGATTTTCCAGGTGAGGATTTTCCAGGTGGGAATTTTCCAGGTGGGAATTTTCCCCGTATTCCCAAACCTCCCTTGGCGCAGCCGCTCTCCCCGAGGGCATCAAAGCCGCCATTCCGCACGCGCGGATCTCCCGCCTCCCTCGGCCGCTCATTAATCAATCATTAATCATTAATGAACCCCCGCTAATGAGCGCGAGCGCCGCCCCCGCCTCCCTCCTCACGCGGCCCCGCCACGTGACCGCTCCGTGGGCGGGGCCTCCTCCAGCCAATCAGCGCCGCGCTCCGCCCGGAAGCCCCGCCCCTTAAACGCGCGGTTCTGATTGGTCGTCGCCAGCTCTCGCGGGAATCCGGGGCGGGGCCGCTCCCGCCGCTCCCCCCCGGCCGCGCCGGTGCCCCCGGGGGCTGAGGCGGTGTCGGAGCGGCCGCGTGGGTTCGAGGCAGCGCCCGCAGCGCTCGCGGTGCCCCCGGTGCCCCCCGGGGCGGCGGCGGCGCCTCCTCCCGCCCCGCCCCGCCCCGCCCGGCGCCGTTGTGGCGGCGGCCCCGCCGCGCCGCGCCGCGCTCTCCTATTGGCTGGCGCCCCCCGCGCGCGCCGCCCCCCGCGCGCTGCCATTGGCTGCGAGGCGCGGGGGCGGGGCCCCGGCGCTGCCGCTCCGGGCTCCCCCCGCTGCCCCGCGCGGAGGTTCCGCCGCCCGCCAGGCCCCGGGCACAGGTAAGGGCCGGGCCGGGATTCCCGGGAATTCCCGGGAATTGCGGGAATTGCGGGAATTGCGGGAATAACGGGAAGGGCAGCGGGAGAGAGAGGGGGCTGCGGGATTACCCGGAGCTGACGGCGCCGGGCGTGCTCGGGCCGCCTCGGGATTGCTGCCGGAGCCTGGAATGAGGGAATGGGAGCGGTGGGAATCTGGGATTTGGGAATACGCGTTGGGAAATGCGGGAATACGCGCTGGAAAATGCGGGAATGCGAGCTGGGAATACGGGATATGGGCTGGGGGAATGTGGGGTGCAGGAATAGGGGCTCTGGAATTCGGGAATATGGGCTCTGGAATTCCTGGAATTCCCTGGGGATTTCCCCGGGAATGCCAGGATTTCCCTGGGAATGTCAGGATTTTCCTGGAAATCTCGGGATTTTCCAGGGAATCTGAGGATTTCCCTGGAATTCGGAGGGTTTTCCTGGGAATACCAGAATTTCCTGGAAAAGCTCCATCCGGGCCTGCTGCAGTTCCATTTTTCCCGGTTTTCCCTGCAGGAATCCCAAGAGGAATCCGTAAATCCCGGGAATTTTTGCCTCTGGAAGCTCGGGATGCGTTAGAATTCCAAGAATTCCCTTTCCCTGAGGTAAGAGCGGAGCCGCTTTTCCTCATTCCCGTTTTTTCCCGGCTCTGTTGGGATACTTGGAGTTCCTATCCCGGCTCGGATCCACATTCCCACATTCCCAGGACCCGACCCTTGGCAGAGCTGCCGTGTTTTCCCAGGAATGCAGCACCATTCCCATCTGGAACATCCCAAATCCCTCTCCTGATCCCGTTTTTCCCTGTTTTTCCCAGGAATGCAGCACCATGCGCTGCCGGGCCCTGTCACCCTGCCCGTTCCCATCCCAAATCCCCCTCCTGATCCCGTTTTCCCCGTTTTTCCGTGTTTTTCCCAGGAATGCAATGAATGGCGCTGCCTGGCCCTGTCACCCTGCCCGTTCCCATCCCAAATCCCCCTCCTGATCCCGTTTTCCCCGTTTTTCCGTGTTTTTCCCAGGAATGCAGCACTATTCCCATCTGGAACATCCCAGATCCCTCTCCTGATCCCGTTTTTCCCCGTTTTTCCCAGGAATGCAGCACCATGCACTGCCATTCCCGTCTGGAACATCCCAAATCCCTCTCCTGATCCTGTTTTTCCCTGTTTTTCCGTGTTTTTCCCCAGGAATGCAGCACTATTCCCATCTGGAACATCCCAGATCCCTCTCCTGATCCCGTTTTTCCCCGTTTTTCCCAGGAATGCAGCACCATGCGCTGCCTGGCCCGCCTCAGCTCCAAGGCGCTGCTGGTTCTCTGCGCGCTCCTGGCGCTGCTCTCGCTGCTCCTCTGGAGCCGCTGCTCCCACCATTCCCAAACCCCGGCGCGGCCCCCGGTGCGCCCCGAGGAGGAGGAGGAGGAGGAAGCCTCGCCCCGGGACGCTCCGGGAATCCCGGGAAGCGCCGGGAAAGCGGCGGCGCCGCGCTACGAGGAGATCGACTGCGTCATCAACGAGGAGCAGACGGTGAAGGGGCGGCGCGAGGGCTCCGAGGTTTTCCTGCCCTTCAGCTGGGTGGAGAAATACTTCCAGGTGTACGGGCGGATCAGCGGATCCGACGGGAACGAGCGCTTCGAGTTCTCCCACAGCTACTCCAAGGTGTACGCGCAGCGCGCGCCGTACCGGCCCGACGGCGTCTTCATGTCCTTCGAGGGCTACAACGTGGAGCTGCGCGACAGGGTCAAGTGCATCAGCGGGGCTGAAGGTGATGGGAATGGGCTGGGAATGTGCTGGGAATGGGCTGGGAATGTGGGAATGGGCTGGGAATGTGGGAATGGGCTGGAAATGTGGGAATGGGCTGGGAATGTGGGAATGAATGTGGGAATGGGCTGGGAATGTGGGAATGGGCTGGGAATGGGCTGGGAATGTGGGAATGGGCTGGGAATGTGGGAATGGGCTGGGAATGTGGGAATGGGCTGGGAATGTGGGAATGAATGTGGGAATGGGCTGGGAATGGGCTGGGAATGTGGGAATGAATGTGGGAATGGGCTGGGAATGGGCTGGGAATGTGGGAATGGACTGGGAATGTGGAAATGTGCTGGGAATGTGCTGGGAATGTGGGAATGAATGTGGGAATGGGCTGGGAATGGGCTGGGAATGTGGGAATGAACTGGGAATGTGGAAATGTGCTGGGAATGTGCTGGGAATGTGGGAATGAATGTGGGAATGTGTTGGGAATGAATGTGGGAATGGGCTGGGAATGGGCTGGGAATGAATGTGGGAATGGGCTGGGAATGGGCTGGGAATGAATGTGGGAATAGGCTGGGAATGTGGGAATGTGGGAATGGTGACAGGGTCAAGCGCATCAGCGGGGCTGAAGGTGATGGGAATGGGCTGGGAATGTGCTGGGAATGTGGGAGTGTACTGGGAATGTGGGAATGTGCTGGGAATGTGGGAATGGTGACAGGGTCAAGTGCATCAGCGGGGCTGAAGGTGATGGGAATGGGCTGGGAATGAATATGGGAATGTGTTGGGAATGAATATGGGAGTGTGCTGGGAATGAATGTGGGAATGGGCTGGGAATGTGGGAATGTGCTGGGAATGAGTGTGGGAATGGGCTGGGAGTGTGGGAATGGTGACAGGGTCAAGTGCATCAGCGAGGCTGAAGGTGCTGCGAATGTGCTGGGAATGAATATGGGAATGTGGGAATGAATGTGGGAATGTGGGAATGGTGACAGGGTCAGGTGCATCAGCAGGGTGCTGGGAATGGCATTCCTGCGGGTTTTTGGGATTGGGGTGGTCCTGAAAATATCCTGGAAGTGCTGCTGAAGGTGCGCTGGAAGTACAGAGTGACCTGGATTTGGTGCTGGGAACGTGGGAAAGCGGGAATGTGGAAACGGTGACAGGGTCAAGTGCGTCAGGGCTGTGGAAGGTGGGATTTGCTGGGAATCAAAGGATTTTTGGGATTGGGATGATCCTTTAAACGCACTGGAACGATTCCATGAAAGGGGAAGAGCAGAGCAGGGATTCCTCCGCCAGCTAAAACCGCGGAATTCCAGATTTTAGCAGGAAAGGGCCCCACCCTTCCCTCCCCAACGCCTCCCTCTAACACTTCCAGCCCCACTTACGGCGCTCCCGGGAATTCCGGGAATTTTTTCCCCTCATTCCAAGGCCTTTTCCATGTTTTTCCCGGGCAGGAGTTCCCGTCTCCACGCAGTGGGGCCCTCAGGGCTACTTCTACCCCATCCAGATCGCCCAGTACGGCCTGAGCCACTACAGCAAGAACCTGACCGAGAAGGCGCCACACGTGGAGGTGTACGAGACGGCGGGAGACGGGATCGAGAGCGTCGGGAATAGCGGGAATGAGGGCGGGAACGGCCGCTGGACCGTGCCCAAGGGCTGCTCCCTCGCCACCGTCTGGGACAAATCCCGCCTCACCGCCGTCAAGCACTTCTCCTGCCCCGGTGCGTGCCGGGGATTCCGGAGGGTGACGGGGATTTATGTGGGTGCTGGGGATTCTGGGGGGTTCTGGGGATTCCAGAGGGTGCTGGGGATTCTGGAGGGTGCTGGGAATTCCGGTGGGTGGTGGGAATTCTGGCAGGTGCTGGAACAGGGAGTGCAAATTGTTGGGTGCTGGGGTTTGGTTTGGCTTTTGGTCCCAATCCTTCATTCCCAGTTCTTCATTCCCAGTTCTTCAATCCCAATCCTTTCCCTTCCCAATCCTTCATTCCCAGTCCTTCATTCCCAATCCTTCATTCCCAGTCCTTCATTCTCAGTTCTTCAATCCCAATCCTTTCCCTTCCCAATTCTTCATTCCCAATCCTTCACTCCCCTGCTGGGGTTTGGTTTGGCTTTCATTCCCAATCCTTCATTCCCAGTCCTTCATTCCCAGTTCTTCAATCCCAATCCTTTCCCTTCCCAATCCTTCATTCCCAGTCCTTCATTCCCAATCCTTCATTCCCAGTCCTTCATTCTCAGTTCTTCAATCCCAATCCTTTCCCTTCCCAATTCTTCATTCCCAATCCTTCACTCCCCATCCTTTCCCTTCCTAATCTTTCATTCCCAATCCTTCATTCCCAGTCCTTCATTCCCAATCCTTTCCCATTCCCAATCCTTCATTCCGGACCCATCCAGCTGAAACCTCCCCATAACCCTGAACCCATCCAAGGGCTGCCCTAAATCCTCGGGGATCTCCCCCAAACCCCGAACCCTTCCCGCCGGGATCCTCCCCGCGCTGATCCCTTTTCCCGGGACGGGCTCGCGGGGGGCTCATCCCTTTTCCAGAAAACTCCGAGGGCGTTTCCCTGGAGCTGAACAACGGCCGCGATTTCATCATCTCCTTCGACCTGAAGCTGCAGGGCAACGGCAGCGTCTCGGTGCTGCTGGAGACCACGGAGCGGGGCCGGCCGCTGGCCGTGCGCTACGCGCCGGGGGCGCCGCTGCTGGCGCTGCGCGACGGCGACGTCGTCTACGGCATCGGCGGCGCGGGCGGCGGCTGGAGGCGGCTGACGCGCGACCTCCTGACCGACCTGCGCAAGGGGCTGGGGCTCTCGCGCACCAAGGCCGTCAAGCAGACCAAGGTGGCCCCCAAGAGGCTCCTGCGCTTGGTGGCCAAAGGCCGCGGCTTCCTGGACAACGTGACGGTGGCGGCCAGCGCGCACACGGCCGCCTTCTTCGCCGCCAGCCGCTGGCTGCTGCGCAACCAGGACGAGCGCGGCGGCTGGCCCATCGGCGTCACCAGGAAGCTGGGAGAAGGTTTCAAATCCCTGGAGCCGGGCTGGTACTCGGCCATGGCGCAGGGCCAGGCCATGTCCACGCTGGTCAGGGCGTACCGGCTGACCGGGGAGCCGGCCTTCCTGAGCGCCGCGCTGCGCGCCACCGCGCCCTTCAAGCTGCCGGCGGAGCGGCGCGGCGTCAAGGCGGTGTTCATGGAGCGGCACGACTGGTACGAGGAGTACCCCACCACGCCCAGCTCCTTCGTGCTCAACGGCTTCATGTACGCCCTGATCGGCCTCTACGACCTGAAGGAGACGGCGGGCGAGGAGCGCGGCCGCGAGGCGCGGCTGCTCTACGAGCGCGGCATGGAGTCGCTGAAGGCCATGCTGCCGCTCTTCGACACCGGCTCCGGCAGCGTCTACGACCTGCGGCACTTCACGCTGGGCACGGCGCCCAACCTGGCGCGCTGGGATTACCACACCACCCACATCAACCAGCTGCAGCTGCTCGCCTCCGTGGACGACGCGCCCGTCTTCAGGGAGTTCGTCAAGAGGTGGAAGAGTTACCTGAGAGGGGGCAGAGCCAAGCACAACTGAGAGCCGGGGACGGAGAGGAGAGCGGGGCCGAGGGACGGCGGGGATCGGGAATGTTGAGGGGGAGCGGTGACGCGCGGGTCCCAAAATAAAGGAAAAAATGGGATTTTGGGATTGCTGCGGGGAAGTCAGGGCAGAGAGGTCCCAAAAACAAGGAAAAAATGGGATTTTGGGATTGCTGCGGGGAAGTCAGGGCAGAGAGGTCCCAAAAACAAGGAAAAAATGGGATTTTGGGATTGCTGCGGGGAAGTCACGGCAGAGAGGTCCCAAAAACAAGGAAAAACTGGGATTTGAAATTGCTTCAGGGAAGTCACAGCACGGCATGGAGAGGTCCCAAAACCAAGGAGGAACTGGGATTTGAGATTGCTCCAGGGAAGTCATGACAGATAGGTTCCAAAAACAAGGAAAAAATGGGATTTGGAATTGCTGCGGGGGAGCAGTGACCCAGCACAGAGCATTCCCAAAAACAAGGAAAAAATGGGATTTGGAACTGCTGCAGGGAAGTCGTGACCTGGCACGGAGAGGTCCCGAAATAAAGGAAAAATGGGATTTGGGATTGCTGCGGGGAAGTCACGACGGAGAGTTCCCAAAACCAAGGAAAACTGGGATTTGGAACTGCTGCAGGGAAGTGGTGACAGACAATTCCCAAAAACAAGGAGAAACCGGGATTTGAAATTGCTCCGGGGAAGTCACGGCCCAGCACGGAGCATTCCCAAAGTAAAGGAAAAACCGGGATTTGAAAGTGCTCCGGGGAAATCGTGGAATCGCGGCTCAGCACGGAGCATTCCCAGAAAAAGTGGGATTTAAAACTGCTCCGAGGAAATCGTGGAATCACAGCCGGGCATGGAGCATTCCCAAAAAACAGCCGGCACTGAAAGTGCTCCGGGAAAATCGCTGCTCCCATTCCCGGCGCGGGAAGCTTTGGGATCGTGACGCTCCCGCCCGGAGCTCCGGGCAGGGATTTGTTGGGATTGGTTTTGCCTTTTCCAAGGAAAAGGTTTTGCAGGAGCCACAGAAACCTTGGAATTGCGGCCCCGAGAGCTCATCCCGGGCCTCTCCCGGTGGGATTTGGCTCCGTGTGGGAGCGGCTCCCGCGGGAAGCGCTCGGAGCCGGGGAGGCTGTTCCTCGGGATCGGCCTTTTCGGGATGAGAGATCCGTGCTTGGAATTCTCTGCCCGGAGATCCTGGAGCTGCTGGAGGGATTTTTCATGGAAAACACGTGGCCGGCGTCATGGAAGCACAAGTGGGAGCCTGGAGCGCACAGCGCTGGGATCCATATCCCAATCACTGGAATTCCCTGGGAGCTGGGATCCCGTATCCCGGTCACTGGAATTCCCTGGGAGCTGGGATCCCGTATCCTGGTCACTGGAATTCCCTGGGAGCTGGGATTCCATATCCCGGTCACTGGAATTCCCTGGGAGCTGGGATCCCGTATCCTGGTCACTGGAATTCCCTGGGAGCTGGGATCCCGTATCCTGGATCTCCATGTTTTCTGTGGGATTTTGGAATTCCATCTGGAGATTCCTCGGAGCTCTGGGGACGTTTTTGGGAATGGCTCAAGCGGGACCTGGAGTCCCTCAGGAAATTCGGGAATTCGGGAATTGCCATTTTTCTCCTGCTCCAGCCCATCCCGCGTTTTCCCAGCTCCATCCCAGAGGCTTTTCCAGCTCTCCCTGGGCTGGAATTCCCAGAGAAGCCGCCTCTGGATCCCTGGGACGTGGAGCAGCGGGAGCTCCCTATGGAATGGGATGAGCTTTAAGGTCCCTCCTCCAAACATTCCATGATCCCGTGATCCCCCTGCTGCCCAATCCCGGGATTTGGGAATCCCCGGCGCTCCCGTCCCACGGCGGAGCTCATCCCAATCCCAAAATCCCGGGATTTGGGACAACGCCCGTCTCCATCTTCCCGTCGCTTTCATTTTTGGAGGCTTTTCCTTCATTTCCCGCCCGTCCTGGAGTGACTTTTCCGTCCTTCCCAAAAAATCCCCCTCCATCCTCCCCCCGCCTGTTCCTTCCGTCGTTTTCCCGCTTGGAAAACCGGGAGAGGCTCCGGGTTGCCTTCGGTGCCTTTCGGAGG